GAAGGGAGGGTGGGGCTCCCTTCGCTCGGGATCTCCCTGACGAAGTGAACCCCACCCTCCCCCTCAGAAGTCGTGGGGGGTAGGGGTAGGGTTCGCATGTGGCCTCCTAAAGAGGACGCCCGCCCGCGTGGCCGAGCTCACGAGTGCCGAAGCGAACATGAGCATCATGGTGCAGTTGAAGGGGCCCCTAGGACGCACAAATAAATACAATGTCAAGGTCCCGCACGAGCACGAAGCCCGGTCCGATACCGGACGCGGAGTGAAACAATTACAACTCTCTGCTGCCGATGCATTCATGGTTGGGCATGGAAAATAAGGAGGGGAGGAAGGGGGGGGGAGTCAAACTGCAAATCTGTCCCACGTCGTTCGTGGCCTGCCCCTGTAGCGCTTCGGTTGGGTAGGCAACTTTGCGTCGATAGTGCCGCCTGGATTCCAGGCCGCGACTAGACTCAGCAACGTGTTTGGGCTCAGATGATGCAGCTTTTCCTGCAATCGGGCTTTGCTTTTGGTGAGCTCCGCGGCCCATTGCCGGATGGGCTTGCGAGCTTGTGCTGCTTCGAGTCTTACCTTCAGCCCGTCTGTACATGTCTGGCCAATCATCTGTGTCGAGTTTGATATATCCCATCATGCAACGTAACATTTGCCGCTGTGTACTTGCAAGCTTTCCAACGTCGTTCACTGTCATCGGCGCTGTCGACAAGCCGTACAAGGCCGTCGGCGCGACGGTGCTGTCGAACAGCCGGGCACGGAGGTCGAAGTTGACGTGCTTGTTCGTTAGGGCCGCCCTGACTGTGTTGAACTTGGCCCATGCACAACGAAGACGATTTGCAAGCATAACCCTGCCTCGTTGCTTGAGGTCGCCCGGGAACCGGTTTCCCAAGTATGTGCGGTAATCAGAAGACCGCACCACGTTGATGAAATCTCCAGCAATGTCAATTAAGACCTCGGACTCGTTATCGTACAAATGCTGATCCAGGGTGAAAATCCGGCTCTTCTTGGCGTTCAACTCTAGGCCGGCTCGCTGTAGCTCCTGGTTCAGCATGTCGAGCATCTCCTTGAGCTCTTCCAGACTGTTTGCGTCAACAATCAGGTCGTCTGCGAATCGCACGTGGGACAGGCGTCTGCTGCGGCATCCGGTTTCGAGCTTCAGGCCGTGGTCGCGCAAGCGGGTTTGCCAGCGCCGCATGACCATCTCCAGCGCAGCAGTAAACAGCAGCGGGCTCAGAACGTCACCTTGACGAACACCTTTTTTGACATGGAATGTATTGTCAGCTCCGAGTCGCCCAGTCTGCTTGCTGTATATCGCTGACAATATCTTCAAGTAGGGGCGAGGAACTCCCTGTAATTCCAAAGCCTCAAAACACCTGGGGCCACAAAATACGATCAAATGCCTTCTTCAGGTCTAAGCTCGCAAAGAAGAGGGGCACGTGATAATCGATCGCCTTGCTGACTACTGTCTCCAGAACCAGCAGGGTGTCTTCGGTGCCGCGGGCCGGCATGAAGCCCATCTGCTCGTCGGACTGTTTTTGGTAGAGCCGGTGTCTGAGGCGGCCGTGGAGAACACGAGCGAAGATTTTGTATGTCACCTTCAAAATTGCTATCAGGCGCCAGTTGGAAAGATTAGACAGGTCTCCAGACTTGGGGGCATGGAGAAATACGTCTCATGCCATCCTGCGTCAGCTCGTCCTTGCCGTAATAGATCATTCAAAGCTGAGGCGAGGAATTGTATAATCTCCGTGCCTCCTTTCGCACTCATCTCTCAAGCAACTCCGGATTGGTCCCGGCACCTGCCTCTTGCCATCTGCTTGACGGCGCGGCTCAGCTTTGCAGGCGTGATCGCGGGGATGTTGCTCATGTGGGCGTCGTCGAACGTTCCCCATAGTTTCCCATATATGTTCTGGATTTTTGTCTTCCCCCCTACTTTCAATGTGTTCCCATATTTGCATGGGAATCGACGATTCACTGTGTCTGTGTGTTGTTTCCCCTCCTGAGCAGTGGCGGGCAAGCGCTGCTTCGGGATCGACCGGCGGGGCGAGCGCGCCGAGCGGCCTGGCGGCGCCCGCGCGCGCCGCACCCGCGGACGCAGCGTCCCATCGCCGGGAGCCACGGCAAGCCCTCGGGCGAGGGCTCGCAAGAGCACGCGGCGATCTTCCGCATCCTCGCCAAGACCCAAAACGACGCGCACGAGGACCTGGTCGCCCCGTATGTGGTGCAACAGGTGCGGCCCAACATGCGCGGTGCGACCCATGCAGCGCAATCTACATTATGAAATGTGTCTGGTGAAACTTGTGCAATGCGGCCTGCGTGGTGCAATGCGCATGGTGCATTGTTTGTGGTCCACTGTCGGCGGTGCAAGCTACGCGGGGCAATACATGTGGTGCAATCTGCGTGGGGCAATCTACGTGGACCAACATGTGTGGACGAACCTTCGCAGTGCACTCAATGTGGGGCAAGCTATGTGGTGCACTCTAAATGGTGCAACAGGCAGCGCATTGTGGCTCAATTCGGTACAGGCTGCGTGGTGGAATCTGCAAATTACATCCTGTGCGATGCTACTTGTTGTTCGCGCCGAAGTGATATCAATTCCACTACTGGCGCAATCACCCCATCGCAAGCTGGTTTGCAAAACCCATGTGGCGGCGATTGCGATGACTGCTTGGCGCTGGCTGGCGGCCGCTCCAGCCCGCGCGCGCTCGCATACGAGCGGTGAGCTAGTTTGGCGTGACCGACGCGGACGCGGTGGCGCGGACCACTCGAGACTTCCGCGCGGGTTTCCCAGGCCGCGCTGACCCCGCTAGCACTTCACTGCGAGTCGATAAATCACGCTGGCGCGGTTGCTTGGCGACACCGACAGGGCAGGCCCAATTCTGATCATTGTAGCGATGCTTATGGCGACTATGGCGATGACGATGGCAGGGCCAACGACAGCGCCGAAACTGATCACCGCGATGACAATGATGGTGTGCAGCCGTCAATGAAAGTTGTGTAAGAGAATTGCGACATGCATGCGCCGCCGACGGGCGCGAGTGGCATGCATGATTTTCGTTGAGAAGGACCGTGCCCCCCAAGCACGCGCCCAAGGGTGTTCGAATGATTACGTCATGCGTTTGCGGGACGCACATGTGGTAGTATTGTGAAAGCGTCGGGAACCCATGGTTGTCTAAAGCTTTTCAAACAAGCACAGGCGCATACCTTTTGTGGAACAATGATGGGGCACTAGATGATGAAACCCGTGCGAAACCGAAGACCCAAGGTTGTTGAATGGTTTCGGCATGCGCGCGCGACGATGCGCGCGTGCGCACTTCGTTTCACGTTTGTTGTTGAGCCCGCTCGGCGGCCGACACCGAACGGGCTCAGAGGGAAGCCTTGCGGAATGCAAGGGGCCCGCCTTGGCATGAGAATCCCGAGTCGTTTTCCGACAGCCCCGCGATACCCATCGGAAGCCAAAGTCTGAGAAAAACCGCAGGATCGTTTTCCCTCATGGCCCGTCTGCTTCATGTGGCCAGAGCATCGAGGGCATCGAACATACACATACATCCATACACATACCTACATCCATACAAACGTACATCCACACGTACATGCAGACATAGCTCATGTATACCTCACCAAGTAGATACATTCAAGTATACCTAATGTGTGAAACATGTATATACCTATATATATATATATATATATATAGAGGTATATGCATGCTGGGAGGAATGTTGAATCACTTATTTATACAGATATGTAAATACACACGTACATGTATAGGTGACACGACAGGTGGGTAGGCCACTCGATATGAGCATAGGCATGTATGAGTGAATGCATGTGTGTATGTATGGATGTATGTTTGCGACGACGGATCGATGAATGGATTGATGAATGCCTGTCTGCCTCTCAGTCTGAATGTATGTATGTATGTATTTACGTATGTACGTATGTACTTATGAGCGGATGTACGTATGTGGTGTGTATGCACGTATGTACTTATGTGCATGTGTACGTATGTACCCATACATTTAGACACATGCGCACATGAACACATATGTATATATGTCTACATGCAAATATAGACATATACATACAGACAAATGGATCGAGGAAGAGGGTGAGGATGAGGATGAGGAGGAGGAGGAGAAGCAGGGAGGAGGAGGGAGGCTGGATGAGGAGGATGGAGGAGGAGTGCGACGAGTTCTACTCGAAAGAAGTCTGCTTCCCAGCCGCCCGCGCGCCTCCCCAGCCCAGCCCGCGCCGGCGCGGACGCCCGCACCTGGGGAAACCAACAGGTGTACCGATACCGCTGCTCCCTGGACCTCTCCCGGGGTGCCTCCTGACCAGGATTTGGATGCGAACGCAGCGGTGGCGACGAGGGACTCCTCCCAAGAGCCCTGGGACCCTGGCGTTGCAGCAATGTTGTTCACGTCGGGCGCTCTCGCCCTCTTTCCGGCCCTGGGACCCTCACAAGCCGATCCGGCTCGGAAAATGACGCAGAAGAATGGGGTCTGGGGCCCCAGTCATGCTCTCTGCGATGTCGCGCGTTTTTCGCAACGCCCAGTCTCAGGGGAGGGCCCCCCGGCAGGCCCCGAAAAGGCGAGCATGAGGCAGGAGATGGGTATCGGTACCTAATCCTCCCCAGAGCACCGGGCACAAACTGCCTCGGCGCGGGCGGCACGGCGCCGACGCTCTCGGCGGCGTCGGCCCGCCTGCGACGGCCCATGCCGCGCGCGCGCCCCGCGCACCAGGTGCGTCGGACGCGGGGCCGCGGTGGCGAGTGCCGCCGCGGCGCGGCCGCGCGCCCGAGGCGCTGAGCCGAGCCGCAGGGCACGCTCGGCAGGGCGGGCGCGGGTGCGAGGCGGGGACTTTTCCAGATCCACCGCCTGGAAACCGATTATTTTTTACTATTTTTGAATGTTCCCCCTGTCGAGGGACGTGCCCGACTTCACCAGAGTCCGTCGTCGTTCGCCCGTTGCCGGCGTCGTCGTCGCCGTCGTCGAGGGCGCGCGCGGGGGCTCCAGCGGCATCTCCTCCAGGACGGGGGGCCTATGCGCCGCAGGAGGCGGGGGGCGGCGGCGCGCGGGCAGGCTCAAGCAGCGCTGGGGCGGCAGGCACGAGGGGGGAAAGGGAGGAGGAGGAGGAGGAGGAGGAGGAGGAGGAGGAGGAGGAGGAGGAGAAGAAGAAGGAGGAGGAGGAGGAGGAGGAGGAGGGAGGAGGAGGAGGAGGAGGAGGAGGAGGAGGGAGGAGGGGGAAGGGAGGAGGAAGGAAAAAGAGGAGGAGGAGAAGGAGGAGGAGGAGGAGAAGGATGAGAAAGATGAGATGGAGGAGGAGGAGGAGGAGGAGAGGAGGAGGAGGAGGAGAGGAGGAGGAGGAGGAGGAGGAGGAGGAGGAGGAGGGGGGCATCTCCTCCCTTCTGCGTTGGACCAGCGCTGGCTGGCGTGAGCCGCCGCGTGCAGAGGACGAACAGAGGATCCGACCTGGGCCACGCGACGAGCCCCAGAAGCGCAGCGGAGAGAAGATGGGTGGAGAGAGCTAGAACAAAAGTCGCCCGCGCCAGCTCCTGCTCCTGCTCCTCCTCCTCCTCCTCCCCCTCCGCCTCCTCCTGCTCCTCCTCCTCCGCCTCCCTCTCCTCCTCCTCCTCCTCCTCCCTCCCCTCCTGCGGCACTGCTCACTCTTGCGTGCGCCATCCTGCTGAGTTTGGCGAGGTCGAGAGACGGCAGGTGCCTCGCAAAGGCCCTTGGCCATAAGTTGGGGCGGCGCCCTTCTCGCTCGTCGCCCTGAGGAGACAGAGAAAGATCGAGGAGTAGGATCGACGATGGAGGAGCATCCAGGATGGAGGGGGAGATCATCGAGGATCGAGGAGCATGACTGAGGAAGGACTCCCTCTTACTATGAAGAGGAAGGCAAAGCGTGGCCGACCCGACCTGCGGCGGGTTCACGTCGCAAAAACGTCGGCGGGCGCTTCTTTGATTCGATTCATGCCTTCAACGCCTCAGGGGGCCCCTTTTGGGTTCCTTAAGGGTGCATTTAACGTCCGAATATAAAAACGCCCGCGCGTTCCAGCGAGTTCTGGCGGTGCCGGGGACGCACTGCGGGTAGGGGGTGTTGCGCTCTGTTGGAGAGGATGGAGCGAAGGGGAGACACAACGCCCGTCACGGCCCTGGCTGACCAAGGGCAACTACTCCGCGCTCGGTGCAAATCGTGGGGGGATCGCCACCCCCGCCGACATTTCGAGGCTTGGAAGTGCGCACCAACACCAACACAGGGGGTTGCCTCCACATAGGGCAGATGATCCTAGATGTTGGTTTTGGTGGTGACATGTCAGAAACCCGAATATTACCACCATCACCGTGATCGGGGTCATCTTGCCTCGGTGGTGGCACACCAGCGATATTGGTGTTGGTGTCCCTGGGCCGACCCCGTCGCGGGCCGCCACCGCGCTCCAAAAGCGCTCCAACCCTCGCCGCGGTGCGCCGACGAGGCGGGATTCACCCCCGTCGGGGGGGATGTGTCGCAGACTATTTCCCAACCATCCTATGTTGCGTCCTCGTTTTGAAGGGACGGTAACACGCGACCTCCTTTCTTCCTCCTCCTCCTCCTCATCCTGCCTATTCCTCTCCTGTCCTCCTCCTCCTACTCCTCTCCTGTCCTCCTCCCTCCTCCTCTCCTCTCCTCTCCTCTCCTCTCCTCTCCTCTCCTCTCCTCTCCTCTCCTCTCCTCTCCCTCCTCCTCCTCCTCCTCCTCCTCATCATCCTCCTACTCCTCTTCCTCCTCCTCCTCCCTCCTCCTCTCCTCTCCTCTCCTCTCCTCTACTCCTCTACTCCTCTACTCCTCTCCACTCCTCCTCCTCCTCCTCCTCCTCCTCCTCCTCCTCCTCCCCCTCCTCCTCCCCTCCTCCTCCTCCTCCTCCTCCCCCTCCTCCTCCTCCTCCTCCTCCTCCTCCTCACGAAACGCGGACTATTCTCCGGACACCGTAGGGCGGACGGTTCAGCTCTGCACGACTGCGGCCGCGGCGGCGAGCGCTCCGCCCGGCACGCCTGCGCCGGGGCCGCCACGGCTCTGCCCCGGAGGCCGCCGGGCGGCAGGCGTCGCCGGGGCAGAGACGCACCGCGCTGGCGCTGAGGTCCTGGGGTGAGGGCCTGGGACCGGCGAGGACGGGCTGGGTAGTCGAAGCCAATCTGGCGCCAATCTGGCAGACCCAATCTGGCAAACGGGGGCAATCTGGCGAGGGAGCCAACGCGAATCCAGTCTGGCGAATAACCCAAATCATCCAGTTTGGCCAGGCCAGATTGGCCCTTGGTGCCCAATCCAATCTGACAGTCTGGCCTTCGACTACCCAGACGGGGGAGAGGTGAGGTGAGGAAATTGTTTTTGGATCGAGACTTTCAGCGTTTTTGGAACTCTGGGCGCCCGAGTCATCCGGGGTGACTCGGGTCCGGGGTGAGTCGGGTTCGGATTCCCGAAACAGGAACCCGAGTTAGCCCTGACCCGAGTTACCCCTGATGATTCGGGGCTCTGAATGAGGGCCTGGGACCGGCGAGGACGGGGGGGAGGTGAGGTGAGGAGCGCAGTGGAGCATGGATCGAGACTTTCAGCGTTTTTGGTAACTGTTTGCCTCCAGGGGCGTCCCCGTCGCGACGGCTGGGGGCCTCCCAGAGGGAATCCTGGCAGGTGGGGTCGGAGAACCGCGCCGCATCGCCGAGGCATCGGCGCGATGCCTCGGCGACGTCGGCGATGCATCGACGACGACGACGACATGGATCATGTCGGGATCCACATCGAATCGGCGATGCGGAACGATTGTTCGACCCCGTCCGTCGAAATGCAACATATTATGATAATTACGTTATGCTCGGCTCGATTGTATTCCATTCATACCTAGATGGATTCCTGTGGCCAGCTTCACGCCGGCTCGCATGCTGCGTGTGATATGGCGCAATTAATCGGTCGCTGCTGAATAATACAGTCTTCAACTGTGTTGTATCCACTCATGATCTAGCATGTTAAAATATGTTGTGTTTAGTTATGTTATGGGCGGGCCGGCGTTACGCCGTGACGCCTGTCACCTTTGATAAGTCGTTCAATCGGTCGTTGCTGCGCCTCTTTGTAATTGTTATGGTGGCAAGTCTGGCCTCGGTCGTGCTTGAGAGGACGCCGGTCGCTGACGTCTTGTCTGGCATATGCAGAAATCATTGTTCCAGGGCTATTTTGATAAAGTAATATGTGCTATGCCTGCCATGGTCTCTTCTATCATGTCTCCGCCGGCGCGCCGGTGGCGCGTCGCCCTTGGTTAAATGATTAGAAACCTTCTGGATGGGGTCGGAGTAGATGGGGTCGAAGGCGACGTCAGCGATGCATCGGCGACGTCGACGTGAAGCAAATCGGGCCCCACCTCGAGCCGCATCGGCGATGCATCGGCGATGCGGCGCGATGCTCCGAGCTCCACCTGCTCCGACCCCACCCGGGAGGCCCAGATGAAGTCAGTCGAAGTGTGCCGCCGCGGCCAGGCGAGGGGCTGGCCACGGGCAGCCTTGGGACCAGCGGCTGGAGGCCGCTGGCCTGGCCGAGGGCGAGGGGGCCGTGCCCCTCCGGGAGCGCGTATGGCCTCATTCCTGAAGCCGCAGTTCTCAATCCTGCGATGCTCGGAGCGGGCGGGACCCCAGGCAAGCAAGCCCGTCCGAGCTTCCCCCGTGCATCCCGGGCATTGTCGCAGGACTCGCTCGGGCACAAGGAGGGGCCCCCACACTGGCCAAGAGCGCCACAAGAGCCTCCAAGACTGTTCAAGAGGGCCCCGATACGCCGAGCGATGGGCACACTTCGCCCAGGATGGCCTGACAACGGTTGAAGTGGCGCCCCCAGTTGAAGTGGCGCCCCAGACGCCCGAAGAGGCTCCCAAGAGGCTTCCCGAGAGGCAGGAATCGTCAAACACCATTGGGAATGCGCATGTCGATTATCTATGACTTTTCAATCTCACGGCGTTCAAGACTGTCCAAGGAGGCGCCGAAGATCGCCCAAAAACTGCCCAGCAGGCCCTCACGGCGTTCAAGACTGTCCAAGGAGACGGCCCCACGAGGGCTCCAAGACGGCCCAAGAGGCGCCCCAGGCAGCCAGAGGGAGGCCCAAGACGACCCCCAGCAGGCCTCAAGAGATAGAGGCCGGGCCAACAATTTGAACCACCGCGGCTGCCTCCACGGCGCGCGCCGTGCGGGGCATCCGCGGCGCTGCCTAGCGTCTCCCGCCCCCCCGACCCCCCGCCCTTGCTGGGCAACACGGGCGCCCCCCGCGCCATTCCGCGTCGCGCTGGCGGCGCCTCTCGCCCCGCCCCCACTGGCACGCCGCCTGGCCATTCCCCGGCGGGGCGGTGCTCCCGCAGAGGGCTCTCCCCACCAAGCCGCAGCGAGCTGGGCTCGGTCGGCCCCCCAACGCCGCCTCTGGACAGCCTCGACGGCCCCCCCCCGACGCCCGCCGCCCGGCCCTGCCCCTGGTCCGGCCTGTCCTCTCGCGGTGGCTCATTCTCTCCTCCTCCTCCTCCTCCTTGCCTCCCTTGCCGTTCCTTCTGTTTCCTGCCTGCTGTCTCCGCCGGGCCCCTCTTCCGCCTGCCCGCCCGCCCCGCCGGCCCTGGCCTCCCGCCTGCGCGTTCTTCGTCGTCTGCCTGCTTCTCCCCTCCTCGTCCCCTTTTGCTGGGCAGCACAGCCTGCTCGGGACCAGCGTGGCGGCGCGTAGGGCTTCAGCCGTCGGCAGATCGCCACTGATTGTCAGCATCATCGACACGCGTCGTCAATCATCGTTGTCGCCGCTCATCGTCCTCCACCATTGGTCGCCGGTCGTCGACGCCACCCGTCGTCGTCGACATCGTCGTCCAGCTCGTCCTCGGTGTCGTCGCCTTCAATCGCCGTCGTCGTCGCTCTTCGTCATCGCTCATCGTCGCCACTCGTCGGCACCCGTCCACGTCGTCGTGATGGCTCGTCGTCGTCGTCGCCGGCTTTCGCCACTCCTTGTCCCGCATCAACAACGTGGTCGACATTCGTCACTCGTCGTCATTCGTTGTCGATGTCATCGTCGACGCTCATCGTAGTCCTCTCTTCTCTTTGTAATCGTAGTGATCGTGGCTTGTCGCTGTCACCGCCATCGCAATCGTCGCCACTCGTGGTCGTTCAACGACGTTGCTGTCGCTCCTCTTCGTCACCCGTTCTCGTCGTCGTCGTCGCCGTCACCGTCGTCGATCGTCTTTGATCGTCGTCGTCGACGTCCTTCGTGGCAACCGTGGTCGTCAATAATGTCGCAAGCGTCTTGGTCATCCGTCCTCTCCAGTCTCCTGTCGTTCTCGACGTCGTCGTTCTGGTCATCATCATCGTCGTGACTCGGCGTCGTCGTCGTCGCTCTTCGTAGTCGACGCTTGGCGTCGTCGTCGCCGTCATCGCCGTGATCATCAGCGTGCTGTTCTTCTGGTCGGCGTACTCCTCGCTCGTCGTTGTTGGTCGTCATCGTCCATTATCGTCGTTGTCGCTGTCGCCGCCGTCGCCGCAGTTGACGTCACCCGCCGTTACTTGCCACAAGTCCTCGTCGTCGTGGTCGCTATCATCACAGATGTTGCTGTAGTCCTCGTCACATCTCGTCGTCACATATCATGGCACGTTACCCGTCGTCGTATTCGCTGGCTATCCTCCATATAGCCATCATTATGTTCGAACGTCGTTGAAATAAGCCATCTTCGTCGTCGCCGGTCGTCGTCATCACCCGTCGTCGTCGTCGTCAAGTCGTCGACACCCATACCGTCGCGGTCGTCGTCGTCCCTTGTCGCCACTTGTCACCCATCGTCGTCGTAATGCTCGTCGTGGTCGTCGTCGTCGTTACTCGTCGGCGTCATCGCCATCGCTCGTCGTCATCACTTGCCTTCAGGGCAATCACCGTCGTTGTCGTCGTTACTTGCCGTCCCGTCACACGTCGCCGTCACACGTCATCATCCGTCGTCCCGTCGTCGTCATCATCCGTGACTCGTTCTCGTCGTGACTCCTCCTACAGGTCTCGTTCTCGGTCGTCGTCGTTTCTGGCAATCGTCCGCGCGGGGCTCAATATTTGAACCTCTTCTTTGCTCGTCACCATTTGGTGTCCTTTTCGCCATCTTCACTCGTCGTCGATAGTCCGTAGTCGTCGTCACTCGCCGTCCTTCGTCACTCGTCGTGATCGCTTGCTGTGTGCTCTCACCGTCGTCGTCGCTCGTCGTCATTCGTCGTCGTATTCGACATCGTGACTCGTCGTCGTAGCGGATCGTCGTCGTCACTCGTGGTCGTTCATCCCTCGTCTGACGTCGTCGTCATCGATCGTCGTCACTTGTCTTCGTCATTGTCGACACCGTCATCGTCGCGACTCATCGCCCCTGAACAACAATCGCTGTCACTCATCGGTAGCACTCGTTCTCGATCGTGGCTCGTCGTCGTGAGACTCATAAAAAAATCTGAACTGCACGCAAGCCGGGACTCACACACTTGCAAGTCGGAACCCAACGCTGGTGGAAAACGCAGCTGAGGGGGGGGTGAATGCCATGCAAGTAAACTCGCCCGAATCTGAAGAGAAACAGCCTCACGTCAGGGTCCGCCGACCATCTTTCCTCTGAAAGACAAAAACAGGCATGGCTACCCAACAGATCTCTGGCAGGGTGCGCCCTGACCAGACCTTCGAATCGAATACAGTCCAGTGGTGGCGACGAGGCCCTAGGCTCAGGAGGCCCAAAAAGGCAGCCGAATCTACAGCCTTGGCCCTGCGCTCCCCCTCCTCCTCCTCCTCCTCCTCCTCCTCCTCCTCCTCCTCCTCCTCCTCCTCCTCCCCCTCCTCCTCCTCCTCCTCCTCCTCCTCCTCCTCCTCCTCCTCCTCCTCCTCCTCCTCCTCCTCCTCCTCCTCCTCCTCCTCCTCCTCCCTCCTCCTCCCTCCTCCCTCCTCCTCCTCCTCGTCCTCCTCCTCCTCCTCCTCCTCCTCCTCCTCCTCTCCTCTCCTCCCCTCCTCCTCCTCGTCCCCCCTCCTCCTCCTCCTCCTCCTCGTCCCCCTCCCCCTCCTCCTCCTCCTCCTCCTCCTCCTCCCTCCTCCTCCTCCTCCTCCTCCTCCCTCCTCCCCCTCCTCCTCCTCCTCCTCCTCCTCCTCCTCCTCCTCCTCCTCCTCCTCCCTCGTCCCTCCTCTCCTCCTCCTCCTCCTCGTCCCCTCCTCCTCCTCCTCCTCATCCTCGTCCCCTCCCCCTCCTCCTCCTCCTCCTCCTCCTCCTCCTCCTCCTCCTCCTCCTCCTCCTCCTCCTCCTCTCCTCCTCCTCCCCCTCCTCCCCCTCCCCCTCCTCCTCGGCACCAAGGGCACCTCGTCTTCCACCAGCTGAAATCCTCGACCCTCGGGCCTTCCAGGGCCCGCGACGGCGGGGGCGCCTCCGCTCCCGGTGCGCGGCGACGGCGCCGGGGCTGAGGCGCGCGTCGCGGGCGCTGGGCACGCCGGTGCCCTCCGGGGCCGACGCCACCGTGCGCCGGGTGGTGCGGCGCCCCATCGCCTGCGGGAGGGGTTCGGGCGTCGCTTCCCTGGGGGGGCCCGTCGCATCCAGTGCCCATCCAGGAGGTGGGAGTCAGGAGGCAACTGCTGGGAGGGGAGGTCTTCGTCGGAAGGAGTAAAGAGGGCGAAACCTACACGGGGGGATGCTGCGCCGAAGTCGGCCGCGGAAGAAGCGGAAAAACTGCCAGATTGCGCGGGAGTGACACGGATTCGACGGCATTGAGCCAGACGTCGGGGCCAAGTCAGACTCTGACCTCGCAGGCGCTGCATCCGAATGTGATGGGTCGGGTGCCATGCTGCCCCCCTTGTACTCAAGGGACCCCCTCCCCGAACTGAGCTCGAGCACCCAGCAAGGCACCGACACGGTGCCGAACGAGTCGCTCTCTCGCCTTCCGAGGCCCGACCCGGGAAGACCTTCAGGTTCTGTGGTGCCTTCCTCGGCGCTCGAAGCTCGCCCTGGCAGGGCGAAGGTAAAAACGGAAACGGCGCTCGCTCTCTCGCCTCCCGAGAGGCCCGACACGGGAACACCTTCAGGTCCTGCGGTGCCCTCCTCGGCGCTCAAAGCTCGCCCTGGCAGCCGACGCGGCGAACAAAAAAAAAACGAGCACGGGCGCCCGTCGGGCGCCGCGAGGGGCCCGGCGAGGCCGCAGCGTCCCGCGGGCGCCGCGCCCCCCCCCCTCCGCGCCCCTGCCCCCCCGCGGCCCCTCCTCTCTCGGGCGGCCTCCGCGGCGGCCCCCGCTCCCCGCGCGGCCGGAGCCCCCGGCCCTCCCTTCTGCGCGGAGCGACGAGCGCGTTCTCCGCGACTCGCAAAATATAACATCGAAATAACTACTCGCAAAAGAACCACTCGCAAAATAACGACTCGCAAATGGCCTGGATCCCACGCAAGGGATCTACGAAACATAAAATCAAAATAACTACTCGCAAAATAACCACTCGCAAAATAACGACTCGCCAATGGCCTGGATCCCCCGCAAGGCATCTACGATACATACAATCAAAATAACTACTCGCGAAATAACCACTCTCGAAATAACGACTCGCCAATGGCCTGGATCCCCCGCAAGGGACCCACGATCCATGAAATCCAAGCAGACCTGTTTTTTTTGGGGGGGGTCCGGACGTTTGCGAGGAGGCACTTTGCAAGTAGCGGAGAGCGCTCGGCGAGCGGAGGGCGCTCTGGATCGGAGGCAGCTGCCGGGAGGTCTTCGTCGGAAGGGCGGAGGCGGATTCAAGCCCTTCGGGGGGGCTGCTGCGCCAGATTCGGCCGCCCGTCGGCGGGATGGAGCCGGACGGGATTGGGCCTGATGAGGCGGGAATGGCGACGGATGAGGCTGGATTTCGGACCAAGGCGAAGTCAGAATGCGACCTCACAGGAGTTGTACCCGAATCTCCGTATTCAAAGCCGAGCTTTGTACTCGACGATGGAGCCCAGTGCCCCTGAAACGAATGAGGTACACGTATGGCGAGCTATCGCAGGACCGTCTCTGTCCCGTACTCGGATCCTCCCCCAGGCCACGGGCGAGCGCTACCCGCACATCGACGCAGGGGAGCTGCAGAAGCAGGCAACGGAAACGGGCCACTCCACGAGGCGTGTCACACTCACCCCGTGCATCCGCGCAGCGATGCGAGGCAAAGCAGAGCTGGAGCTATTCGCTCACGAGGAGAGCTCACAGGTGAGAGGGCGGTGCAATGTGGCCCAGCCGCTAGCTGAAGGTACGCCGCCGCCTCCCCATCTGCATCAAGACACTGCTCGTGCGCAGGCTCGCGACGGAAAAAGGGGACGAGACAAGCTGGGAGGCTCGCTGCACCGTGCTGCTCGAAGCCGAGGAGGAGGGGGAGGAGGAGGATCAGGAAATCCTCCTGATCCTCCTCGTCCCCCTCCTCCTCCTCCTCCTCCTCCTCCTCCTCCTCCTTCTCGTACTCCCCTCCTCGTCCTCCTCGTCCTCGTCCTCGTCCTCCTCCTCCTCCTCCTCCTCCTCCTCCTCGTCCTCCTCCTCCTCCTACCCCTCTGCTATTCCTCCGTCGAGTAGGAGCGATGGAAGCAAGCGGGCCTTGCGCCTCCTCCTCCTCCTCCTCGTCCTCCTCCTCCCCCTCTGCTATTCCTCCGTCGAGTAGGAGCGATGGAAGCAAGCGGGCCTTGCGCGGGATGGCACAGCAACCTTCCGCGGTGGCTTACGCGGGCCGCCGCCGCGGCACGCCACATCGGAGACGAGCGCTGCAGCTGCTGCTGCTGCTGCCGCTGCTGCCGCTGCTGCTGCTGTTGCTGCTGCTGTTGCTGCTGCTGTTGCTGCTGCTTTTGCTGTTGCTGCGCACGTGCTGGAGTCAAAACTGTGTAGCCCACGTCGGTCCCCAATCGTTGCGTTTGAACTCGCCAGGGGTGTTCACTATATGTTTTCCCCTGCCGGTTTTCACTGTCAGTAGCTGTTGGCTCAGAAGAAGCTGAACAAACCCTGAAGCTGGCGCCCAGGACCCAATCCTTGGGCGTCTGAGGCAGAACAAACATCCAGCTGACCCTCTTTCGCCCATTCGGTCGGGAAATTGGGGTCGGACCCACGGCCACACGAGGGAGCGCGGAGGACACCGGGAGGCAGGGCGGCGAGGACAGCGACCCACGTGCGACTTTCTCGGCAACCTGATGAGGGAGCTGAACGGCGGACGTGATGACCGAGACAGGTCCCCTCAACGCCCTCAGGAAGACCGCGGCGCAGCACCGCGCAGCACGCCAAGACCGCTGCCCCGCGAGCCGCTACAACCCGAAACTCTGCAGTCCATGGTACGCGAGACGATCGAGTCCAACGCGTCTGTCGTTCAGGCGCTCGCTACGAACCAACAGGCGATGCAGAACCAGACGTGCGAATTCATGAAGCAGGTCACCACGCTGGCTGCCGTGCCGACGCCAGCCCCTGACTGGTCCAAGTTCGCCAGCGACACAGCGGCAGCGACGGCAGCAAGCGCGCTCACGGCCGTTGCGGCTCCCTCGGCACCCCGTCCGCCCAGGCGACCGAGAAGGAGGAGCCGCCTCTCCCGAAGGAGCCTGCGAGGGCCTGCGAGGAGGCGAAGCACGACTTCCAGGGGGACCCCTGGCGCCACGCAGCGGCGCAGCGACGCCCAACACGAAGCTCGAGGGGGGGACGGCCTTCTTCCAGCAGGGCGAGGCCGCTATCCTCCCGGTGCCCGGCCGTTCAATTCCTAAGACACGAGGGCGGAGCCGCATGAGATCTGGAGCGAATGCGTGGACCACGTGATGAGCGGGGGGGAGATCCAGAAAGGGTCGACGGGCCGAGGGGCCATGGCCATGACGCCCTGGCCGCCCTCGCGCGCGAGCGGGCCCCCTCCCCGACGCCAGCTCCTCCGCGGCCAGCGGCGGCCGAGGCGGAGCAGCGCCGCCGCCGGGCGATCGACCGCGCCCCGGCCGGGGAGCCGGCCGCCCCGCGACCCACTGCGGAGAGGGCACTGCGGACTAGGGCTCCCAACTTCGCGCTTCGCGCTCCGCGAAGCGCGAAGCGCGAATAACTTCGCGCTCTCGCGCCGCCCCCCCAAAGGGAGAAAAGGAGGACGAGGAGGAGGGGGAGGAGAAACGAGGACCGCGAAGCGCGAAGCGCGAATAACTTCGCGCCCTCGGGGGAGCCCTTGGCGGAGAGGGCGAGGACAGGACGCACGCGCCCGCGGGCAGACGCCCGCGCCCGCGGGAAGACCGGGCGAGCTCGCTCAAGCAGGCGGTCCGGGCGGAGGCCCCCGCTCGGATGCCGGAGGGTGCCGAGATGGAGGGCGACGAGGAGGAGGCCCGACCCCGACTCCAGAACCTGACGCGCGTCTGCGAAGCCATGCGTGCAAAGACAAACAACGGTGGAACCCCGGCCGCAGGGCTGGGGGCCGTCAGTGGCAAGAAGCAGAAGAAAGGCAAGGCCAACGTCAAGTCGACCCCTCCCGCCAGAAGGTGCGGACAAAGGCGAAGGAGCTGGCAAGGGCAAAGGCGTGGACAAAGGCAAGAAATCACCGAAGGCAAAGGACATGGAAAGGGCAAAGGCGAGGAACGCACATGGACAGAGGGCAAACGCAGACACGCCGAAGGGCGTTACAAGCACACGATTTACAAATACAAATCAAAAGGCAAGGGCCGGGATGGCTTAGGAAAAAGAGGCTGCGGCAGAAGGCGTGGCGGAAGAAGGTGGAAGAGATAATTAGAAGCATGCACGACGTGATGTGGATGAGACCTGGTCACAAGTATGCAATGGAATACACATTGCGACAAAGTCCGAATTTACAACCCACGCAAACGTACTTAATCACATCACGACGGCACCGCAAGCACATCATGATGTCAAAGGCGTTGCCGCTTGTTTCATCGTTTCGGGATCAAGCGCAAGAGTTACGACATCGCATACGAGGGTGGCTTTACTTCTCACTGTTTCCTCAAGCGAGCTGATCGTTCCGCGCTTCGACAACCAGCCGCGCTGCCCCCACGCAAGCGACAGGCGCATGTTGGGGTGCGCCACGAGAGGATCACGCTGGAATGGAGGCTTCGCGAGGTCAGCTCGAGGGTTCTCAAGGCGGCCTCCGCGGCCTGGTCGCGAGCAGGACTCGGGCCAGATGCTTTTCGAGCTGCAATCCATTGGAGGCTCTGTAATTCAGGCTTCTTCGGGAAAATACGCTCGTAACGTGGATGACAGAACACAATCCCAGCTTCACTCTTGTGCGCGTCGATGATTTTCAGTATCTGTCCACGTCAGTGCTGCACGCGACGCGCTACCCCGAAACTAGTGCAATCGGTCTGCATAACACGTGCTACCACGGCTACCCCAAACTCTGCAAGTGGGTCCCGGAAGAGATGGACAAGCAGGAACTCAATGGCGCCCTGTTCCGAATCGTTTTCACGGCAGGCTGTAGCTTCTGATCGAAGCCCACAAGGATGCGAGAACCATCGTGATTAGGCCTGTACACGCATCGTCACGGCACCTGTTCAAAAAGGCCTGAAATGTGTGCTGGGCGGCGTACTGAAAGCGACGCTCAGCAGCGTAGCTCCGCACCTTTTTCGGGATCCATTCGATTTGGTCAGTCGTCTGCAGCACATCCGCGCCGACGATATTCACCGATGGCACACGGCAAACGTCGACGTAAAGGATGTCTATAGCCTCGAGCGTCGTCTTCGTTTGGTCCCCTCGGGACAGCCATCCATCCAAGGGCCATCATTTTCCTCCTTGAACACCATTGCGTCGCTGGCCCCTGGGATCAGGCCGACAGTCAAACCACATTCAGCATTCTGACGGGCACGGGCATGGGACTACCACGAAGCAGGTTAGGTGGCTGGCTGCTGCCTCTACGTCAAGCTCGAGGTCTGGCTTCTCGGTCAGACGACCTGGCACGGCACTAACTTCAAGCTGTAAGTGAAGTTCTGGGACAACATCCTCATCTTGAGTAGGGGGTCTCGCTTCGCAAACTCTGCCTGTCTTCAGTGGAATGCAACAGAAAGCGGACATTGATGCTGTCACTCTTGGGCTGGCCTATTTCGAAATTCACGTCTCAGAGTTGGTTATGCAAAAAGGGAGGGGCCGCTTCGAGCTCAGGCATTCTCTCACGCCTTCCTCGCTCCTCCCCAGACTCTCCCCCTCGGATGCCCATCACGGCCCAATGCATGCTGCTTGGCCCGTGGGTCTGGCAAGGAAGGTGAAACGTGTCTGCACCAATCGCGATCTAGCCCGCTACTATCCAGCATATTGAATATGTGATGTGCCATGGTTTCGCAAGCGACCTCGCTCGTGCTGCTTTGTCGCTCGCAGTACCCCGATCGGGTAGCAGAGGGAGCGCAGCCCCTCGGGGCTCGCGACTGTTTCTGCTGTTCGTTCTGGGGCTTCATCCTATCACGGCCTGGAATATCACCACGGCTATCGTGTCCAACAACGCGGACACAACTCTAGGCTCGTTGCTTGGACAGTCCTTCCGCCGTGGTGAATGCGGGAAGCGTCGCCAATATACGGGTCTTAGTTGGAAGTGTTGAAGCCCCTTAATTTTAAAGCGCTTTCTACCTTAAGCATCTGTACGCTACCATAGGAAGCAGCGATTGGGGTAGATAGTGGCACGCTGTTGCTGCACGCGTTGGAGCCCAAACTGTGTAGCCCAAGTTGGTCCCAAAACGTTGACTTTCCACGTGCCAGGGGCGTTCACTCAATGTTTGCCCCTGCCGGCTCTCGATCGTGGCTTTCGCAGTCAAGAATTGTTCGGCTCAGGATAAGCTGAGCAAGCTCTGAGGATGGTGCCTAGCACTTAACCGCTAGGATTCGCAGGCATAAAAACACATCCAGCTTATCCTCTCTCGCCCACGGGGAGGAGGATGATCAAAGAACCCATGTGACCGACGAACACACATAGGTCTTGCGCGAGATGGCTCGCCAGCCTTCCGCGGTGTTTTACGCGGGCCGCCGGCGCGGCACGCCTTGCGCGCCAATGTCGGCGAAGACGACCCCGTTGTTTTTGCGTTGCTCATGCCATACCCCAGAACCACTTGAATTAACCAAGAGCGCCATCCTTCTCCCTGGGCCTGGGGGGTGCAAACATGGATTAGCGATCCATGGATGTGGCGCGCGGTCGCCAAGTCCATGGATCGGGGGAGGCGTCCTCCCCCCAAAATGCGGCCGGTGCCGCCTCGCTCGGCGGCGGAAATCCTCGATTCCCCATGGAAACGGGATCCGTCTGCAATCCACGCCCCCTTGATCCGTGTTTGCGATCCCCTGAATCCTTCTCCCTGGGCACCTCTCCCTTAAACGGGCCCTGGAAACGACAGGGCCGTTTTGTTACCGGTTCCGTTTTGCCGTCTTTGTTGCCGGTTCCGACGCTGTTTTTGTTACCGGTTCCGTCCCCGTTTTTTGACCGGTTCCGGCTCCGGTTCCAGTCCTGGAGCCGTTCTTTTGCCGTTTCTGGTCGCCGTTTTCTTGCCGTTTCCATTTTCAAGGGTAATTTTTTGGGAAACGGTGAAAAAACGGCCCTGCCGTTTCCGGGGCCCACAAAGACCTCTACCCCCTCGTCCACCTCCCCTTCCCCCCCTTCACCCCCGTTCGAGTTGCCGTGGAGGCGCGCTCCTTCGCCTCCACCGGCGAAGACCAGGGGCGGGGGCGCCGCAGGCCCCAGGCGGTCACGACAGAGGACCCGCAGCGGCGAGGGGAGGAGGAGGATAGGAAGGAGGGGGGAAGGGAAAGATGGAGGAGGAGGATTATCAAGCTCTCTACAGGCGGCGGGGTATCGCATCACATCGTGAAGACTGTGCAACTGCAACTAAGAAGCCAAGCTCCAGCAATTGGCCGACAGAAGGCCGCATCCTCAAAATCTGACACAAGGCAGACAACTGTTGGCCACGAGCTGCCCATGAGGAGCAGTGCTGTCCATTGACCCTTGATGTATGCAGGCGACCGTGAAGGAACGAGTCAACATGAGGGGATACGTACACGTCGGTCGGAACCACCGTACACGTGAGTCAACATGGGTAAGCTGGTGGAAACATCATGTAGGAAAGCGTTGAAGTAGATAGGGTCTCCGCCCACTCCCCTAAGGAGGAGGGAAGAGGTAGGAAGGCGCTCGACGGAGACTGGCATCTGAGACTCAAAAATATCTACTTTCAACGTCCGACGTGTACGTAGCCAGCGACCCCATTCACAGGCATCGGGCGGCCTTGCCACCTCGAGCTCAGGTCTCGTGCTGCTCGCCGCATCTCGCCATCGCTCGGACGTCCCTTCCTCGTACACGTTTCGGCGTCGCGTGAGTGCTGCTCGAAACAAACCTCAAGGACGCTCTTCGATTGTCCTCGACAAGGAGCAAGGATCATCAAGGAAATCAATCATCAAGATGGATCAAAGATCAGGCCTTCGAGTATGATCAACCATCAAGGATCGTTGAAAATGCATATGTCCGAGCAATGCCAGGCGAATTCAACGTGTTTCAAGTTGCCCTATCGTCGCCGACGCCGTGCTCGCCAGCGTCGTCACCACTAGGTGGCGACATCCGATCCCTACCCCCACCAACCACCAATTCTCCTGAGTCGATTGGCTGCGGGGGTAGAGATCGGATTTCGCCACGTGTTCGACAAACTCCGAACCCCGCCCATCGAACTCCCTGAATCGTTGCTCGGCAAGCGTAGGCTTCGGATTCCACCTCCGAGTCATCCACGCCGTCGGCGGCCACTTGGGGCAGCAAGGCGCACGAGCGCATCGGGTCAACGAGCGCCCTGCACGGTGCCCAGAAGTCTTCGTCGCCGCCGTCGCCGCCGCCGTCGCCGCCGTCGACACCATCGAAGCCGTCGTCGCCGCCGTCGACGCCGTCGATGCCGTCGTCGTCGTCTTAGTCGTCGACGTCGCAATCGAAGCCGTCCTCGCTGTCGCCTTCGTCGCCACTGCTGTCAGAGCCGAATAAACCGCCGCGGAAGACGCCCTCCTCGCCGTCCTCGTCGCCCTCGCCCGCGACGAATTCGTCGAAGTCCTCGTCCCCTGAGATCCGAAGCTTCGACAATATTGCAACATCGTAAGAAATCACAACCAGAGCACGGACCCCAGCTTTCTCTGGCACTTTTCGAGCCGCATCGATCTGTGAGGGTGCCGGGGCCCGAAACGGGGCGGGAACGCCCGTTGCGAGAAAATTTCAACGCCATGATGCCAGGGTATTCGTCGTCGTCCTCGTCGCAATCGCCCCTGTCGTTGCCGTCGTCCTCGTCGCCGTCGTCCTCGCCGGTCCCAGGCCCCCGACGTCGTGTTGGTGTACAAAACGTCGACCCGCAGAGGTCCTGACACCTTCCACTGGTCTGGTCTACCATCCTGAATCGTTCTTTGAGGCTCCCGAGGCCCGGCAAATGCCCCAAGAGGCCGCAAAGTAGCGAATCGCCTCCCGTCGTGACCTTTTCACGACGCGAGGGGGTCTCTGTCGTCCTCGACGCAGTCGCCCCCGTCGTTGCCGTCCTGGTTGCCGCCGTCCTCGCGGTGTCGTCGCAGTCGCCGCGGCTGCCGCCGCCGCCGCCACCGTCTTCGTCGTCGTCGTCGTCGTCGTCGTCGTCGTCGTCGTCGTCGTCGTCGTCGTCAGCGTCGTCGTCGTCGTCAGCGTCGTCGTCGTCGTCAGCGTCGTCGTCGTCGTCGTCGTCGTCGTCGTCAGCGTCGTCGTCCTCGTCGGCGCCGTCGTCCCTCGCCCGAGTGCGCGAGGGGGGCGGCCCGGCGCCTCTGGGCGGCGCGCGCCCTGCACGACGCCCCAGAGGGCCTCGAGGAGGTCCTCGTGGAGGATCAGGCCCACGCCTCGGGGGAGGGTGCGGACGAGCGAGCGGGTCTCGAGTCTGCACGAGGGGACGCACGAGCGACGAGTGGACGACGACGACGACGACGACGACGACGACGACGACGACGACGACGACCAAGACGGCGGCGGCGACGGCGACGGCGGCGGCGGCGGCGACGACGATGACGACGATGACGACGGCAGCGGCGGCGGCGGCGGCGGCGATAACGACGACGACGATTGGCACGCGCTGCGGGCGGCTCGTGGAGCGAGAGGGGAGGCTGGCAGCACGAGACTGCCAACCGCAGGGGAGCCGTCGGCGGCGGGGGCCTGCCTCGAGGAGGGCAGTGCGGGCAATACTTTCTATCCACATCCACGGCGTCTTGGACTTTTGTGGAAGGGGCGCCGCAAGGCCGAGGCGCACTGGATATGGTCAAGATTCGAGCCTCTAGTAGGGGCCTGATTTTCATCAATATCCAGTGCTCCTCGGCTTTGTGGGGAAGGGAGTCCGACACCCCAAGCTGCAGTGGATATGGACACAAGTTTTGCCCGCAGGCAGGGGGAGAGTCTCGAGCAGACGAGCGAACGAGTCCTCATGGGACGCAGGAGGACATCTTAGGAAGCAGCTACTGGGAGTCTTCATCGAAAGGATGAAAGAAGATTGAGCCCTCGTGGGGGGCTTTTACGCCAGAGGAGGCCGCGGACTAAACGGGACTCTAAGCCGAAGCAAGCGGGATCGAGCGGGATCAAGCCAGATTCAGCTGGAGTTCGGACTGGGGCAAAGCCAGAATTTGACCTCCACGGAAAGGAGATCTAAGCCATGGTAAGGGATGGGAGGGAGCGGTAGGACGTCAGATATGACGCGAGCGCACCTAGCTTGCCCTACCCTTAGGCCGGGCCTGTCCCCCTACAGGGGGCTTCTCGGCGAAAAATTGCACCGAAAACGTACCAGTGCTGCGTGCCCTCCTCGGAGGCGTGCGTCCGACCCGAATATAAAAAAACACCCGTCTTGTACTCTGTCGTTTCCCGGCCAGCGCCCAGCACGGAGCGTCTGCTACGAGACGTCTCGGCACGCGCACCGCCCCTGCGAGGGCGACGCACACACGGTGCTGTCGGGCCGGGCGGAAGGGGGGGATTCGGGGGTGGACAGAACCCCCAACAGTGGCACGTCGATTAGTGCATTGTCCGTTTTCGCTTCTCGAGAGGGCGCCGTGGCCGTTGTTTTCCAGGCTTGCGCCCGCCAGGTTGGGGCCCCAGGTCGTTGTCACTAAACCACGTTTTACTAAAGGGGGGTCTGTCCATCCCCGAGGGATAGCAAAAGGGGGGGGGCCTGAGAATCAGCTCACGCAGCTGCTTCTCCCGGCGCCTCCTGGCGCCGGGGGCGGCTACGTGTCGAGGAACGGGCCCGATCGGCGGGGCCGAAGCCAGCTGCCTGCAGCAGAATTCGTGACGCCCCCCTGTCCCAAGCCCCCCTCTTTCGTCCGGCCCGCTGCTGGTATGCTGGGGTGACGCCGACTTGAACCTGCACGATGGGGCGGGTCCTGCGAGAAACGGGCCCCTGGCCATCGCCCGGACGTCCGTTCCCTGCGTTTTTTTTTGGGGGGGGGGTCCGTGCGTGGTTTGTTCGCCAAGTGATCAAGAATGCTCCTCGATGGTCCTCGCCGAAGAAAAAACGCACACGTCCGAGCGATGCCAAGGCCCTGGGCTCTGGGGCCCTCCCTCGGGGACCAGCTCGTTCGTCATCCCGGGCCGGCTCTGGACGGCTCCATGGGCCCGCGGAGGGCACCATGAGCTACCCTGACCTTCCAGAGAGCTATGTTTTAGCACTGGAGACCTTAAAACCTAAACAACTAAACGAAACAGCCTAAAACCAAGACGTAGAATAGCTCTGGGACAGGTTTTTAAGCCGCGTGCTATTGCTTAGCCCTCCTGGAAGGTCAGGGTACAGGGGGGGCGCATGCCAAGAAGCACCCTGCTTGCCTCCCGGGTGCCCTGGGCTTCTTGGGCTCCGATGGTTTTGTGCCATGGGCACCAGAACTCAATGGACGTCCTGGGGTCTCAGAGCTGGGACTCTTGTGGAAGGTTTGTTGTGGACGGGCTTCCTTTGTAAAACACGGCGATCAACCTCAGGACCCGCCCTCAGGACCCGTTTCTTTCATGGCGACTGAGACGAAGCCAGGACTGGACGACGTCGGACCGGGACAAGTCGGGGATCTCTGAGATCCAGAGGATGTATCGGGCTTGAGGCGGCCGGGGGATCTGAGCTGGATGGGCCCCAGGAAAATGTGCATTTTCCCGAGGACGAAGTAAGGCACAATCCTGCGTCGTTCTCTGATGCTCCCTCCCAGGGCTGCGAGCGCGAAGGAGGGCGAGACACCCGAGGGCGAATTTGCCTCTGAGGGCAAGTCGACGCATGGCGACAGCAAGGGCGATGCCAGACATCTGCCCCCCCCCCCCCCCGTGACGGCCCTCGTTGAGCGGGGACCGAGCGTCCCCGCACTCCTATAGGCCTACCACGACATGTTCTTAGAACCCCAAATGTCCCAAGAAGGCAGACGAAGTTCTTAGAACAGAACCCGATGTGTTGAACAACAGGTCGGTCCCAGCCAGACATGCTCTAAGAACATGTCGTGGAAACCACATGAACGTTCTCAGAACATTGCTCCGACCAGCCACATCTGGGGGAGCTGTGGCCCTCACCCCCCTGGGGGGGAACCCATCGCGTCGACGATCTCTCGAGAGAGGTGCCGAAGTCGATGGGGCCTCCAGTGGGGTAAGGACCACAGCTCCCCCAGTTGTGGCTGGCACGTTGTTTGGTAGGCCCATCGGCGAGCCAGGACGCTTCGCCTTTCGGCGGTGGACAAACCTCCCTTTAGCAAACCTCCCTTTAGTGAAGACGGCCTGGGACCGAAACCGACGGACCCGGACCTGGACCCGCAGAAATGACGGCCGCGACGCCCTCTCGCGAACCGACAACGGCCAATTCCTGGATCGACGTGTCAGGGCAGGAGGTCTGTCCACCTCCGACCCAAGAGCCCTGGGACCCTTGGCCCATCGCTTGGTATAGGCCCATCGGCGAGCCAGGACGCCTCGCCCCTGCCCTGCTCCTCGGGGCCCCGAGGGCCTGCCCCCGCCGCCCTCCGCAGGGCGGGTGGAGCCCCGCCCTCGGCCTCCCTGCCGCCCGCCCGCCGGCCGGCCTGGCGCCGCCCTCCGCCGAGGACGAGGCGCTGACTCCTCCGACCCTCGAAGGCGAGTCTTCGGTCGGGCGTGGCCCCCTACAGGCGGAGTTCGGACGAAAAATCGAAGATTTGTCGTCCAATGTTCTCTTCTTTAAATAGAAGCAGAGAACCAATGACAAGAAAACGCCCCCCAAAGGCCCCCAAAATAGAGGAATGGGCCCGGCGGCGGAGCCGAAACCAGCTGCCTGCAGCAGATGTCGTAACCCCCCCTTTCCCAATCCCCCCCTTTCGCTCGGTCCGACAGGCCAGAACCAATAACCAGAACATGCCCCCCAAAAGGCCCAGAAATAGTCGAGCCGTCCTTCCCAGACTATGTCTCGACGATGCTTGACCCTTCCTCCTGCAGAGGGACACGCCCGACTCCAGGCTCGGGCCGGGCGAAAGGGGGGGATAGCAAAGGGAGAGGGTGAGAATCAGCTCACGTAATGAGCTGCTTTCCCGGCGCCTCCCGGCGCCGGGCAGCGCCCACGCATCGAGGCATGGGCCCGGCGGCGGGGCCGACACCAGCTGCCTGCAGCAGATTTCGCACCCCCCCCTTTCCCAATCCCCCCCTTTCGCCGGGTCCCAAAGGACCAGTCCCAATCCCCAATCCCCCAATGTATTTTGAAAAAAAGCAAAAAACCAATAACCAGGAAATGCCCCCAAAATGGCCTCAAAATAATCAAGCCATCCTCCCCAGACTATGTCTCGACTCTGCTTGAACCCTTCTCCTGCAGAGGCACACGCCCGACTCCAGGCTTGGGCCGGGCGAAAGGGGGGGATAACAAAGGCGGGGTTTGAGAATCAGCTCGCGTAATCAGCTGATTTCCCCGGCGCCTCCCGGCGCCGGGCAGCGCCCACGCATCGAGGCATGGGCCCGGCGGCGGGGCCGAAACCAGCTGCCTGCAGCAGATGTCGTAACCCCCCCTTTCCCAATCCCCGGAGGGAGGACGGAGGAGGAGGAGGGAGGAGGGAGGAGGAAGAGGGAGGAGGAGGGAGGAGGAGGAGGAGGAGGAGGAGGAGGAGGAGGAGGGAGGAGGGAGGAGGAGGAGGAGGAGGCGAGGCGAGGCCCTCGTCGGAACGCCCCGCGTGGCGGTCCCCTCCCCCCCCCCCTGCCTGCCCGCAGCCGGCACGGTACTTAGGCGGCGAAACCGACGGCGGGCGACCACGCACGCGCTGCGTTGCCCCCCCCCTCCTCCTCGGCCCAGCTCTGTCCCTCCCTCGCCCTCCCCCGCTCCTGACTACCTAATTACCAGACCACCCCAACCCAACCCGAAGGACCGAATTTTGCCCGAACTTCGGGTTGGGCGGGTACGGTACGGGTTCCATGTGTTTTTTCAGTGTTCCCCGACCCCCCACTGGAAATCGAGTATGAATTTGGGCCTTCGGGTTGGGTTGGGGTGGTTTGGTGGGTGGTGAGTTCCCGGGTCTCCCCCTGCCCCTCCCCGCCCTCCCCGCCTCCATCCGGCCCCCCCCGTATCCCCTCTCCCCCTTCTGGGCCCCTATCCTGAAGTCGGGCGTGTCCCCCTACGGGTGGATGTTGGGCGAACAATTAGGAAAAACACACACGCACACACAAAAAAAAGACCCCCCAGATGCCGACAATAGTGAAACAGAGTCTGGGGAGACTATTTTGGAAGATCCCCCCTGCAGAGGGACACGCCCGGTTTCACCCTACCCCTCCTCGCGCCAGCAATGGGGGTGGGGGAGCCTTGACCTTCCAGGAGGGCTAAAAAATAACACGCGACTTAAAAACCTATCCCAGAGCTATTCTACGTCTTGGTTTTAGGCTGTTTCGTTTAGTTTTTTAGGTTTTTAGGTCTCCAGTGCTAAAACATAGTTCTCTGGAAGGTCAGGGAGGAGCGAGGGGGCAGGAGCGAGGAGGGCGAGGACGGACGCACTCAGACCCGGGGGCGGTCGCGAAGAGCGGTATCGGCGAGAGAACGCCGCCCCCGAGCACCGCTTGAGCAGCGAGCCAAGGCCGACCTTGCGCGAGATACCGCAGCGACCTTTACTAGGGGGCCGCACGCGAACCCTCCTCCTCCTCCTCCTCCTCCTCCTCCTCCTACCCCTGCCCCACACGACTTCTGAGGGGGAGGGGGGTTTCACGTCGCTCGGGAGCTCCCGAACGAAGTCAACCCCACCCCTCCCCCTCAGAAATCGTGCGGGGCAGGGGCAGGGTTCGCGTGCGGCCCCCGACTTACGCCGCAGCTTGCGCGAGCCGCCAGCGCGGCACGCGGCACTGGAGACGAGGTCGCCGACGGCGCGACCTTACGAGGGCAGCTCATGCGCCAATGTCAGCGCTGGCGACCCTGTTTCTCTTGCGCCGCTCACTTGAAGACCCGCGCCCTGAAGACGCGGTTTGGCGATCACGCCAGGAAGAACGGCGATCCAAAACGCCAACGTCGCGATGGTTTTCGCATTCGCGGGGAGTTCTGGACCCCCGTCCCCGGGGGGATCGAGGAAGGATCAAAACACCGACCTGGAATAGGCGATACGTCGCCACTGGATCGGCAGCGGGCCCATATCGGCGATGAATGGGCGATTGGGGGTCGATACTTCGGTGACATGTCATGGGAGCCTCCCATACCATCTTGTCGGCTCTTGCGAATCGACGCTAATCGACGCTGAATCGACGCCAATCGGCACATCTCATCGACTCCCAGACGCTGATCGACGCGAGCCGACGCCGAACACGAAACTACCAGGGCGCACGAGGCTCCCAGGATTGGACTGGCTACCAAACGCTGTGCCTCCCCCCACCACCACAGAGACCATCCCCCCGCCTGCGCAGCGTGCCCCCCCCCCCCGGCATCCGCCACTCCGCCTCTTTAGGGGAACAAAAAAATAACATAAACCTGAAAAGTCGGAGGTGCGCGCGGATTTCTCGGATCGCCGCTGGACCCCCCTCCCTAGCGCGCGGAGCGCGCCAGGGGCGGCGCCGCCGAGGGGCCCCAGCGCCGATCCGAGAAATCCGCGCGGACCTCCGACTTTTTATGTTTATGCCACTTTTTGTTCCCCTACTCTTGCGCTCCGCAGCCCCGAGGGCCCCGACGGGCTCCCCTGGGGGCCCGCCTCTCCCTCCCGCGTCGCTGCTGGCTGGCCGCGCGCCCCGTGAGGCACTCCCAGAGGGCCCCGCGCCCTCAGGGACGCTGCAGCGCAGGCCCGTGCCGGCGCGCCCTCGCCCCCTCCCTCCACATGGGGGCCCAGGGACACACGAGCAGATGAACGCGAAAGCAAGGATTCCCCATAGAGCTCCAAATGTGTTCTGGCTGTGCGTCGTCCCCCCCCCATAGTGTCTGGATGTTCCCAGATTGACCCGGGAATCGACGATGCATTGCGCCTCTGTGTGTTTGCCCCTCCCGACCCTCCTCCCTCGCGGCCGCTCTCGCCTCCCTTTCCCTCCTCCTGCCCCCTGGGGGTAGTTCGCGCTCTCAGTGGCCCGGGCCGCGCCTGGGCGCGCGACGTAAATCAAAAGGTGAGCTTGCGCTGGCACGGCGGAGCACCGGTTCTCGCGTAAGAGCGACTGGTTGGTTCAGAGGATGAGGAGGAGGAGGAGGAGGAGGAGGAGGAGGAAGAGGAGGAGGAGGAGGAGGTGGGCCGAACGGTCATTATTTTTTCCATGCGCGCGCGGAGGTGCGCGCGGAGGGCGCGCGAGGAGGGCGCACGGGGAGGGCGTACACAGGGTCGGTCGCCTCGGATGAGGGGCGCTATTGGGCAAGACTTGCCCAGACTAGGCCCGATACGAAACCTAACCGAACGAGGTTAGGCGGGACTATGCCGATGCACGTCGGTTCGAGAGCAGAGTCGCGCAAACGCTGACGCTGAACCACCATCCCCAGGATTTTTTCCGAACGTGAAGTCGCGCAACGACCGCACCAAAGCGAGCGGCAAGGAGGCGACCCATGATGAGGGCCCCATGCTTCAACTTCACCCTACGCGCATGCTGATCTCACGTTGGACCTCAACTGGATGGGAGAGGTAGTGAATAGTATATGATAGTGGAGGAGGAGGGAGGAGGAGGAAAAGGAGGAGAAGGAAAAGGAGGAGGAGGAGGATTAGGAGAGGTAGTGATATGAACGAACACTGGGCCAGCGGCGAAATAGGAGGCCTTCTTGTTGTCTCTCTCGCGCGTTCGAGCGGGTCGGCGCTCACGACGTGCGTATAAAGTGCCCAATGGAGCCCTGCATATAGAGAGGCGGCGGCGAGGCAGCCCTCGAGAATGAGAGAGAGCGCGCTGGAGGAGGAGAGGCTGGAATAGAATTACACGACAACCACAGCAACAGGAGATATGTCGACCCCCATCCCAGGCTTCGTGGGGCTTTCGAATGGACTTGATGAAAGGGCGTCCATCCTCGATAAAGGTGCGTCCGAATGGCTCCCTTGGGGAGCGTCCCAGGGTCTCCTTTTTTCTGGAGCGGCTACTTTTTTCGTCGAAGAGTTGGGGGTTGGGGGAGGAACATCGCCTGCGACACAGCGCGGACCCCCCCCCTGTGGCGGCGCCCTCCCCCCGCGGCGGGGCCGCTGGAGTCGAAACTCTTGAAGATCTGCGCGCGGCGGGGGTGTGGCGGTCCCCGCTGCCGCAGCTGCTGCTCCCGCTCGCCTTCCTCCTCCTGCCACTCCTTCCTCAACCTCTTCTTCTTCCTCCTCCTCCTCCTCCTGCTGCTGCTGCTGCCTCCTCCTCCTCCTGCTGATGCCGCATGTTCCTCCTCCACCTCCTCCTCCTCCTCCTCCTGCTCCTCCCTCCTCCTTCTCATCCTCCTCCTCCTCCTCCTCCTCCTCCTACTCCTCCTCCTCCTCCAGTCCCTCCCCTCATCAGTAACCTCCCCCTGTCGCACCCCGAGGCCACTCTTTGGGGCGGGCCGGGCACTGCGCCCAAACTCTTCTCGCCGCTTGTGGCTCTGAGCATTCAACAATTGGCAGCAGTTTGACACGAGGAGGCGGCGCTCGCCTCGGCGCCGCTGGCGCATTCGTTGCAGCAGAACTTGCACGCGCTCCACGGATTGAGGGCGGGTCGTTTTCAGGAATGCGGCCCTCGCCCTCCGCGCCGCGCACGTGCGTTTTAAACGTTCGCAGGAGTTTCACGGATTGGGTGGGACCCGTTTTCAAGATGTGGCTCTCGCCTCAGCGCCGCGCACATCCGATTCAAAAAGCAAGAGCTTCACGAATTGAAAGCGGGTCGTTTTCAAGAGTGTAGTTTTCGCCCTAGCGCCGCGCACATGCGTTTAAACATTAACAAGACGTTCACTGATGTCGGGGGAACACTTTCAAACTGTGGCTCTCGCCTTAGCGCCAGGCACAATCGTTTCAAAAAGCAAGAGTCGAAATGTGAGTCTCGCCTTAGCGCAGCGCGCATTCGTTTAACCATTAATAAGAATTTCACGGATCGGGTGGAACCCGTTTTGAAACATGTGACTCCCGCCTTAGCGCCGCGCACATTTGGTTTAAACATGTGCAAGCGTTTCACGAATTGAGAACGGTTCCTCTTTCACCATGTGGCTCCCGTGTTAGCGCCGCGCACATGCGTTTTGAAACTTGGCAAGCAATTCGTGGATTCAGGGCGGCTCCTTTTTCAAAATGTGGCTCCCGCCTTCGCGCCGCGCATCATCGTCAACAACAGTTGCAAGGTTTCTAGTGGTTACAATGATCAGAATACCAGAACAAGGGCTTTAGAAGAAGGGTTCAAGATTTTGAGGGCGCCACAAATGCGTTCGTTCGCGGTGCTGAAGTTCCGAGAATGGTGTATTGGAACGATTCCACCAGATCGCCAGAACGCAATAGTGCGGTTGATCCGTGGCGTTGGAATCCCAAGAACAATGTTTTGGCCTGCTTCAACATCTTCGAACGGCTGTCTTCCAATGAGGTAGTTCCCTCACTGGAAATGGACCGCTGTAAGGGCTTGTAGAGAGGGAGCTTGGAGGGAGGGTTTATTCCAACATTGTTGGTGACTGTTGGGCTTACACTGTTCCTCCTTCTCCTCCTCCTCCTCCTCCGCCCCCCTCCTCCCTCCTCCCTCCCCCCGCCTCCCGCCTCCCCCTCCGTAGCCATTTTGGCTCAAGTCAAGAGCAAGGAAGCTCAGTGGACTTGTGTGTGGCAAGGAGGAGATGCGCCCCCACCCGCAAACCCAGAACCCAACGTTCAGGAACCCATGCCTCGCACAGCTCCTCGAGGGGCCCGTGTATTGTGCTTGCGTGTGCTAACGGGCACGGCGACGTTTCGGGTGAGCTCCTGCAGGAGCCCATGGGCAAGGCCGCTCATGCCGCCAATCACACTCGACCAGGACGGTCAGGATGCGCGGTAAGGATGCAAGGGCCTTGGAACGCCATGTTGACGTTTCCCGCACCGGAGCGCGGCAGAATGCCGAAGGATGCCGAACACCGACAGGGCGCAAGGATGCAGGGGCAGCCTTGGAGAGCTGCCCCATCTCCACTGTCGTAGCTGACTGTATGCCCCGTGCTCGGCGCGTCGGCACTCTTTTGGTCGGCGGGGCGAGAGCGAACCTCTTCCGCCAAAAGCTAGGCGGGCTACGCACAGCTCTAATTGGGGGGACAGGGCACAGGCGGGCGGGGCCTCAGGTGGCCGGAGAGGGCGGGGCCCAGGGTGCAGGCGGTGCCGAGGAGCTTGCACCGGCGCGTCGGCACAGGCGGAGCTGGAAGTCGAGGACTTCCTGCTCTCGGTGCGGCTCGACGCTGGGACCCCGCGGGGATGCCGTGGCGCGACGCTGCCACAAGTGGGGCGCCGCCGAGCCCGAGGGCGGGGCCCTCCTCCTCCTCCTCCTCCTCCTTCCCCTTCTCCTCCTCCTCCCCCTCCTCCTCCTCCTCCTCCTTCCCCTTCTCCTCCTCCTCCTCCTCCTCCTCCTCCTCCTCCTCCTCCTCCTCCTCCTCCCCCTCCTCCTCCTTGTCCTCTTTCTCCTCCTCTTTCTCCTCCTCCTCCTCCTCCTCCTCCTCCTCTCTTTCTCCTCCTCCTCCCCCTCCTCTCCTCCTCCTCCTCCTCCTCCTCCTCCTCCTCCTCCTCCTCCTCTCCTCCTCACCCCCCCTCCTCGTCCTCCTCCACCTCCTCCTCTTGCCCCTCCTCCCCCTCCTCCTCCTCCCCCTCCTCCTCCCCTCCTCCTCCTCCTCCTCTTCCTCCTCCTCCTCCTCCTCCTCCTCCTCTTCCTCCTCCTCCCCCTCCTCCTCCTCCTCGCGATATGGACGCGGCGGCCCTTCCCGCGCAGTGGCGCTCGCGACTGGGAGGCGACGCGCCGTTGCGCCGCCAGCCCAGCCTGCGAAGCCTGCGAGGGCGCCGCTGCTGGAGGAGAAGGTCTCGGCGGAGGGGGTGGCCCGCCGCAGGTATGATAGGGGCGCCAGCAGTACGGATTTGCACCCACATCGCAATGTCGAGCGCCCCAACAGGAAGTCGAAATGCCCTCGCCAATAAATCATTCCTCAAAATTCCCTCTTCATAGGCCCGTACGTAGGTTCATTTCATCGATGAAAATGCCTCCTTGGAAGAACACCGCTTTAATTGAAAACCCAGAACTGCGCCAGAACACCATTCCTTGGACTTCAACGCCGCGAATCACTGTTCCTGTTGCGTCTTGGCGATCCTGAACCATGCCAGAACAATATTTCTGGAACTTCTATGCCGCTAAATAAGTTGACTGTTGCGCCCTGACGTTCCGACACCGTGCCAAAATACGATTTCTGGGACGTTAACCTTGAGAACCCTTGAACCTGCTGCGAACTCTCAAGATGTATGCGCGGGGCGCTAATGCGAGCGCCACATTTTGAACAACAAACACGCCCTCCATCCGTGCACCTCTTACAAGCTTTTGACGCGAATGTGCGCAACACGAAAAACAAGAACCACATTCTGAAAACGGACAGCTCTCTGTCCGTGACACTCGAACACATTCTATGGAACACATATGCGCTCGGCGCTAGAAGCAAGGACCACAACTTGACACCGGCCCGCCCTCCAATCGTGAAGCTCGCGCAAGTGTTCCCGACGTACGCGCGCGGCTCCCAAGCGCGAACCACATTTTGGAAGCGGCCCGCCCTCCATCCGTGACACATTTGCAGGTTCTGGGCGGTAGTATCGAAATTTTGGACGCCCGAAACGGGTACCGAAAAAATTGGCACAATGCCCAACAGCAAATGTTGTCCCAAACCAACAGTGGCCGCTGTTGGGCAGGCGGCCCTCTGTCTCAAATGGACACAGGCCGCGGCGGCGCGGATAGCAAGTCCTGTTCAAAATGAACAGGAACTGCTGTTGGGCATTGTACCCATTCTTTCCGTACCCATTTCGGGCGTCCATAGAAACTGGTGAGGAAGTCTCATGCTACACGCACAACCCGCCCTTCGACCAGCCCCGGGCTGCGACGGGGGGGACGTTATCCCTAAGGAAGAGGGACGGGGGAGGACCGAGGAGGAGGAGGATAGTACGGTTAGGTCGGGCGTGTCCTCCTACAGGCGGGTTTTGGACGAAAGCGTAAAAAACAAAACCAACAACAAATGACTCAACAACATGCTCAAACACATGCTATTTGGGAGAAGGAAAAGTGACATAAACATAAAAACTCGGAGGTGCGCGCGGATTTCTCGGATCGGCGCTGGACCCCCGAGTTTTCATGTTTGTGCCACTTTTTGTTCCCCTAATTATTCTGTTGGGGACCACTTTTCGGGAGCGTCCTCCTGTGGAGGTGGACGTGCCACGCCCGACCTTGAGAGCGCCGGGGAGGCAGCAGGTGGACGAAAACTACAAAAACATGATTAAACCACATACTCCAACACACAGGTCGGCGACTACATTGGGTGCGGTTTGCAAAGGGTGCGGTTTGCCTCACGTCATATCTGCCCCTCCCAACACGGGAAACGGATGACACTGTCAGTCAATGCGACCGAGTCACATGACACTATCGCTCCTTCTAGTACAATGGAGCACACATCGAGAATGACAGTGTCGCTCGAAACGACGACAATTATGACACTGTCTCTCACAAAGGCCCCGGAAAGGCCGCCACAAAGCAGCTCGCAAACCGCACCCTGGCGTAACCGCACCACTTGTTGTCGCCGAACATGGCCCCCATACTATCTTTATTTGGGACTATTCTTGTGGAGTTTCCTCCTGTGGAGGGGCGTGCCACGCCCGACCTTGAGAGCGCCGGGGGAGGCAGCAGGCGGAGGGCCCCAGGGGGCTCGGCGGCGCGCCCAGCCGGGGGGGGGGGGGAAGGGCGGGGAGGCAGAGGCGGCGGCCCTCCTGGCACGGTGCAGCAGGGCCACCCAAACGGTGCTTTTCGTTTTCGGTTTGTGTTCGTTGTGCCTCGATTTGATTTCAATCCACCTCTACCGCAAAACGAGGAGGATGAGTACGGTTAGGTCGGGCGAGTGCTCTTACAGGCGGACTGTGGACGACACGTGGCCCCCATACTATTTCCCAGCCATCCTGTGGTGTTGGGTCCTCGTTTTGAAGAGACGGTGCCCCGCGTCTCCTCCCGCTGCCCCCTCCTCCTCCTCCTCCCCCTCCTCCCTCCTCCCTGCGTTTCACTCACCCAGTACAACGTTTCGTGGCCCCATGGGGAGCTCCACCGAAGGCCCCAGTGGCAGGGTTCGCATGGCGGCCCCGCGTTTTGGCGTTCCCCTCACACGGTTCGTGGCCCCATAGGGAGCTCCACCGAAGGCCCCAATGGCAAGGTTCGCATGGCGGCCCCGCGCCATTTTGGCGCACCCCTCACGGTTCGTGGCCCCATAGGGAGCTCCACCGAAGGCCCCAGTGGCAGGGTTCGCATGGCGGCCCCGCGCCAGTTTGGTGCACCCCTCACACGGCTCGTGGCCCCATAGGGAGCTCCACCGAAAGGCCCCAGTGGCAAGGTTCGCATGGCGGCCCCGCGCCATTTTGGCGCACCCCTCGCACGGTTCGTGGCCCCATAGGGAGCTCCACCGAACGCCCCAGGGGCAGGGTTCGCATGGCGGCCCCGCCCATTTTGGGCACCCCTCACACGGTTCGTGGCCCCATAGGGAGCTCCACCGAAGGCCCCAGTGGCAGGGTTCGCATGGCGGCCCCGCCCATTTTGGTGCACCCCTCACACGGTTCGTGGCCCCATAGGGAGCTCCACCGAAGGCCCCAGTGGCAGGGTTCGCATGGCGGCCCCGCACCATTTTGGCGCACCCCTCACACGGTTCGTGGCCCCATAAGGAGCTCCACCGAAGTTCCCAGTGGCAGGGTTCGCATGGCGGCCCTGCGCCAGCTTGGCGCACCCCTCACACGGTTCGTGGCCCCATAGGGAGCTCCACCGTAGGCCCCAATGGCAGGGTTCGCATGGCGGCCCCGCGCCATTTTGGCGCACCCCTCGCACGGTATGTGGCCCCATAGGGGGCTCCACCGAAGGCCCCAGCGGCAGGGTTCGCATGGCGGCCCCGCGCCAGTTTGGTGCACCCTCACACGGTTCGTGGCTCCATAGGGAGTTCCACCGAAAGCCCCAGGGGCAGGGTTCGCATGGCGGCCCCGCACCATTTTTGGGCACCCCTCACACGGCTCGTGGCCCCACAGGGAGTTCCACCGAACGCCCCAGGGGCAGGGTTCGCATGGCGGCCCCGCACCAGTTTGGTGCACCCCTCACACGGTTCGTGGCCCCATAAGGAGCTCCACCGAAAGGCCCCAGCGGCAGGGTTCGCATGGCGGCCCCGCGCCAGTTTGGTGCACCCCTCACACGGTTCGTGGCCCCATGAGGAATTCCCCTTGCTTCGTCCCACCTGCCCTGCGGTTTTCACACTTGCGTATGGTTGGGTCCTTCGCCTGGATAAGTTTCTGGATTATGTATGGAGCTTCCATGTGGAGGGACCTGCCATGCCGGACCCTGAGAGCGCCGGGGGAGGCAGCAAATGGAGGACCCCAGAGGGGCTCGGCGGCGCGCCCAGCCGGGGGGGGGAAGGGCGGGGAGACCGAGGCGGCGGCCCTCCTGGCACGGTGCAGCAGGGCCGAACCCAAACGGAGTGTGTCTTGTTTTCGTTTTGTTTGGTTTCGTTATGGTTTCGTTCTGTTTTGGTTTCGTCTTGTTTTGGTTTCGTTGTGTTTTCGTTCTGCTTGTTTTCGTTGTGTTTTTCGTTTGTTGTCGTTTTGTGTTCGTTTTCCCTCGATTTGCCTTCAATCCACGTCTGCCGCAGAACGAGGTCGAAACGAACACGGCCCACGAAGTCGCCCAAACACCGATTAGGTCCAGCCCTGCTGTGTAATTCTGGGCCACCTCCGAAGACGCACGGGGCTGCTCAGAAGGATGGAGAGTTTTTGGGAAGCCCCGCCGCCAGCTGAGAGTCGGGGGCGCGCAGACAAGGATCAGCGATCCAGGGATGTGGCGCGCGGCCGCCAAATCCAGGGATCGGGGGAGGTGCTCTCCCCAAAATGCAGCCGGTGGGCCGGTGCCGCCTCGCTCGGCGGCGGAACTCCGCGGTTTCCCATGGAAACGGGACAGGTCGCTAATCTACGCCCCCTTGATCCATGTTTGCGATCGCCCGAGAGAAGGCCTGGCCCCTCTTGCTTCCCCCTTCGGCGCTTCCGCCCACAAGCGGCGCGAACATAAGCCTCCAGAGCGGCGCCCGAGGCGCCGCCAGTGCGCGTCCAGAACAACCTCGAAAGATAAACGCCAAGTTCCATGCTTTCTGCTGTTCGAGAGGAGGCCGACAGCGCCGGAGAGAACCCCCAGCAAGCGTTCCGACGCCGCGCTCGAAAGCGCGAACTACCCTCTGTAGAAGAAGACAAGACGACACAAACATAAACATCCCAATCAATGTTGTTGCTTCCGTGAGGAGCGCCACAATTTGAGTTGATGCCGACGTTTCATCCTCGATCGAGGGCGCAAACTACCCTCATGGGCAGCGGTGCGGCCGCCTGGCGCGCGCTACCCTCATTGAAGGGGCCCTGGGACACACAAATAAATACAAACAAATAACCGAGTTGTTCACCATATTTCCCCAGATTTTCTCGGTTTCTGTCTTCCCCCCACTTCCCATGTTTTCCCCTATGTTCTGGGGGATCGACGATCAATTGTGTCTCTGTGTTTTTTTCCCCTCCTGGTTGTGGGGATCATCCCTCGAGGTCTCCACGGTGCGGTGAGCCGGCCCGCACGATGGCGCGCAGGCTCCTCTGTCCAGGCGCCGCTGGCATCGTCGCGCGCCAAACTCGGAAGATGGACATAGAGAAACCTGTGTATATATAAATATAGATACATGTATATATAAATAAATAATATATATATATATATATATATATATATATATATATATACATACAGATCTAGAAAAAAAAATATATATACCTTATAACTGTTTTTTTTTTCCCTCCTGACTCACGGGCAGCTCGCCAGTCTGGCGCTGCCGGCGCAGGGGCTCCGCGGAGGCGCCGGCGCGCTGGCGCGCGAGGCCCGCGGCGCAGATCCCGCGCCCCCCGCGAATTCTTCGGCTGCGCGCAGGAAGCAACCCCGGGCAGGGGGGACCTTTGGCGCGCGGCGCAACTGAAGGGGCCAGGAAATCTGGGGAAATATCATGGCCCCCGCCATGATATCCCCCCCCCATCATCATCACCCCCCTCTTTGCCGCCCCCGAGCGCTCCTGGGCGGATGGGGCCACACTGGGCCGCTGTCGCCGACAAGTGGGCGAGCGAGGGCCGCTGCATCCCCTCCTGGACACTCTCGCGCCCTGACTGAAGGGGCCCCAGGACACACAACTAAATACACACAAATAAAAATATTCCCTATATTTTCATATATATATATATATATATATATATATATATATATATATATATTGTCTTCCCCCCCCCCACTTCCCATATTTTCCCATATCTTCTGGGGAATCGACGATCAATTGTGTCTGTCTGTTTCTTTCCCTCCTGAGCAACGGAGACGCCGAGACGGGCGAAGACCGGACGAGGAGAAAAACGGGCGAGGACAGATGGGGAATCTCTGAGATCCGGCGGCTCTGGAGGGTATAGGGGGCGCCGCGGCCTTCTCAGAGCGTTCCGGAACTCTCCGAGAGCGTTCCGAAGGCTCTGCAACGGATTGTTATCCTCGTCCCAGCCAGCCCCGTTCGAGACGCGGGGGTGGCCAAACCCAGGCGCGCAAGCCGCTGCTACCGTCTCGCCTTCAGCAATCGGAGCACCTCATTTCTTTTGGAACGGAAGCCACGAAGAACACCGTGCCGATCCACTCGTCCATATGTCCACCGCGGGCTTCAGGAGAAGAGCTTGGAGCGGTACGAATGAACCCATGAAACGTATCAGCGTCGGCGCCGGCGGGGTGAGGGGAGGGAGGAGAAGGAGAAGGAGGAGGGCCCGCGCCAAAGGTCACCCTGGCGGAGGGTCACTCTTGCGCCGAGGCGAACTCTGGGCCGCACCCCTCGGCCTCCGCCAGCCGCCGGCGCAGCTGCCGGTTGAGGGCCCCCGAGGCGTGCAGGGCGGCGCGCAGGTCCTGAGCCAGCTGCACGCAATGACGGGCCCTATAGGTCGGGGGTCGACAGAACCCCCTTTAGCGAAACGTGGTTTGGTGAAAACGACCTCGGGCCCAAACCTGGCGGGCGCAAGCCTGGAAAATGACGGCCGCGGCGCCCTCTCGAGAACCGAAAACAGACCATTCACGAATCGACGTGTCAGGGTAGGAGGTCGATCAACCTCCGAATAGGCAGGAGTGACCCCACCTAGACGCCCGAATTTAGGGGGGAGCGAAAGGGGGCGATAGCAAAGGGTAGGGTAGAGAATCGGCTCACGCAACTGGTTTTCCCGGAGCCTCCCGGCGCCGGGAGGCGCCCGCGTATCGAGGAATGGGCCCGGCGGCGGGGCCGAAACCAGCTGCACGCAACAGATTTCGTAACCCCCCCTTTCCCTATCCTCCCCTTTCCTTCGGCCCGAGACTTACCCGGGAGAACTGCGGGGCGGGGTGACTCCAATTTGAGCCCCCGAGGCACGAACCCGCAGCTACACTTCACTGCCCCCGGCCCCGACGATTCGGGGTTGGACGCCCGAGTTCTCCGGGAGAACGGCGGTCCGGAGTGACTCCTGTGCGTGCCCCCAAAGAACGAGTCTGTAGCTGCCCCTCATGAGTGCCCCCAGCCCCGGATAGTTCAGAGCTCTGCCCTTCGCTGCGCAGCTTCAGAGGGATGTGGCGACCTCGATCCCCGACGTTGGGGGTTCGGCTGCACCAAACATTGTCCGATCTTCGCGTCGTTTTACTGGGGCCCGACTCGGGGATCTACAACGGGAGGGCGTCCATCCTCGACAGAGAGGTGCGTTCGAATGTCCCCTCCAACGGCCGAACGGTTCGGTCGAAGCGCCAAGATGTGGGGAGGGCAGTCGCCAGCGAGCCGCTGCTGCGCGGTGTCAGGGGGCTGAAGGGGCTCCCAGACCCAGGCGCGCGCTCAGCTGCCGGGTGGGGCCCCCTGGGAGCCCGCACCGGTGGTCGCTCCCGCGAGTGGGCAGAGACAGCGCATGCTCGAACACGTGGCAGGTCGCTGTTCGACGATCTGCTACCTCACTCTGACTTTGCGTACTGTTGCCGAGGTGCCGTCATGGCACGGCTCCTACGCACGTGCGTACGACTGGGCGCCCGGGGGGGGGGGGCTTGCTGGCCACAGGGTGCTCCTGGCCCCTCGCGCTGGGGGCCCCGCCCCTGAAGGCCGACTGGGCCGCGTGAGAGCCAGAGGCGGCTGATACAAGGATGGCGGTGAGGTAAGATCAGACATGGGAGCTGACCGGACAAGAACGGGAAGCGCCGCTTTAGTCCAGTGGGCTCATCAGGCGAAGAAGAAGAAGAAGAAGAGGCAGGCGAGGGCGACGAGGAGGCGATGACGAGAACGACGTGGAGAACGTGAGGATATCGAGGAGAAGCATGAGGACAACGAGGAGCAAGAGAAGCACAAGGACGAGGAAGATAACAAGGGCGAGTTCGAGGAGAATGAGGAGGACGATGACGACGACGACGACGACGACGACGACGACAGAGGACAGTAAGAGGCAATCGGATAAGGATGCTGAATCAGGAGAAGGTCCTGGCGACCCTATCGGGCTACTCTGGGGGCTCCTGGCGCCGCGCGGGGTTGTCTTGGGGCCTGTTGGGGGCTTCTTGGGGACCGCTTGGGTTCTCTTCTGGGCTTCTGGGGTCTTCTTGGGCTGTCTGGGTGCGTCATAGGGGGCTCTTTGGGTGCTTTCTTGGGCCGCCTCGGCGCCGCCTCGGACTGTCTCGGGGCTCTCTTGGGCCGTTCGGGGGCCTCCTGGGGCGCTCCCCGGAGCCTTGGGGCCCTCTTGGTCCGCCTCCGGGTTCCTCTGAGCTGCCTGGTCTCCCATGGGCTTGGCGCGTGACCCCTGGGCTCCGGGGAGCCGTCGCGTGACTGTTTCGAACCAAGCGGGCCCCATAGATTCTGGACGATTTTCCGTTGGCTTTTGGAACGATTTGGGCGTTCTCGCCTTTTCGGCTCCCCGACGCTCGCACACGGCCCTGGAGGCCCCCAAGACCGCCCCAAGAAGGCCAAGAGGTCTCCAAGAGGGCCTGAGAGGCGCCCAAAACGTTCCAAGAGGGCTTCAAGACGGTCCCACAAAGGGCCCAAACGGGAACACGAACCGAAAATCCCCTAGAGGCCCCAATAAGCCAGAAGGCCCCAAGAGGTCCCCAGGAGCCAGGAGGCCCCAAGGCGGCCAGGAGGCCTCAGGGAGGTCCCCAGGAGGCCCAAGAAGGGAGGCAGAAGAGGCCCCAAGGGACCCCCAAAGAGTCCACCTGAGGCGCCAAGACAGCCCAAGAGGCCTCCAAGAGGGCTTCCAAGAAAGCCCGAAGAGGCCAACATCACTGATTTTCCGTGGGCGTTTGAAGGATTTTAGCAGCTGTTTCTTTTCGGCCTTCCGACGGCCCGAGACGGACCAAGAGCCCATAAGATCGCCCCAAGATCGGCCAAAAGGCTTCAAAGATGGCCCAGGAGGCCAACAAGAGGGCCCAAAGAGGGCCCCAAGACGGGCCTAGAGGCCTCCAAGATGCCCATGATGGCCTCCAAGACGGCCCGAGCACACCAAGAGGGCCCCAAGACGGCCCAGAGAGGCCCCCAAGATGGCATCCGACGGCGTCAGACGAGCCAGGAATGCCCTCAAGACGGCCACAGAGGCTTCCAAAAAGCCCCAAAAGGTCCCCAAGTGGCCCAAGGAGATGCCTCCAGGAGACTCCCATGTAGCTCCAAGGAGGCCCCAGAAGTGCCCTCAGGGGCTCCCAAGATGCTGCTTTCCTCCTCCTCCTCCTCCTCCTCCTCCTCCTCCTCCTCCTCCTCCTCCTCCTCCTCTTTCTCAGCCTTTTCCTCCTCCTCCTCTTCCTCCTCCTCTTCCTCCTGTTCTTCCCCACCATCCTCCCCCAAATGTTCCCCGAAGGGTTTCCCACAACGGCTGAGGGAGCATATGGTCCGATATCGTGGCAGAGCTCTGGCCACGACATTCGGCCACGTGGGCGATTCCAAAAGGCAAGGGGCGGCAGTGATTCGCCGTGGGTGTCTTCGATCCGCCGTCCCCTGTTGGCTTGCCACAAGGGTGATGGGCGTGCTAAACTTCTTACGGCTTGGTGTTGACTCTTCTCTCAAAAAACTCCCCCCTGGGCTTCGGTCGAGGCCGCTGGCCACCCGGAAGGGACTGGAAACATCAATGTCTGGAGCAAATCCCCAAAGACGGCTCAAAATGGCCTCTCCGACGGCCCAGATGTCTCAAGATTGCCTCCAAGATGCCCCGAATACGGCCAACATGGCCCCAAGAGACCCCGACATGGCCCCAAGATAGATGCCTCAATTAGGTCCTCCAGGAGGGCCCGAAGTGGCCGAAACCATTGACTTGACTTAGGTGTTTGAGAGATGTTGCCCTTTGCCTCTTTTCGGCCTCCCGACGGCAAAAGACGGCCCAAGAAGACCCAAATATCGTCCCAAGATGGCCCGAAGCACCTCCAGGATGACAGCATGACGGCCCGAAAAGCCTCCAAGACGGCCCCAAGAGGGCCCCAAGACTGCCCAAGAGGCCTCCAAGACGCCCAAGATGGCCTTCAAGATGAACCTGAAGCGCCCCAACAGAGCCAGCGAGGCCCCCCAGGCGGCTTCCAAAAGTGTCAGACGGGCCAGGTACGCCCCAAGACGGCCAACGAGGCCCCCAAGAAGCCCAAAAAGACCCCAAACAGGCCCAAGGAGGCTTCCATGATCCCTCCGAGAGGCCCATAAGAAACTCCCAGAAGACTCCTCCTCCTCCTCCTCCTCCTCAGCCTCATCCTCCTCATCATTTTTGTCCTCCCTCTTTCCACTCCCCCGCATGTTCCCAGAAGGGTTTCCACAACGGCTGGGAAAACACATGGCCGGATACCTTGGCAGAGCTCTGGCCACAACGTTCGGCCAACTGGCCGATTAAAAGGCAGAGGGCGGCGGCAATTCGCCGTACTTAGGCAACTTCGATACATTTGGCGGAGCTAGTTCTACCTGCGATGATTCGTGTTGGGGCTGATCTGAGGGCCTACCTGCACGGTTTCCCCCGGGGCCGTGGGCGACCCGAGGAGGAGGAGGAGGAGATGGAGAATGACGATGATGATGATGATGATGATGATGTTGTTGTTGTTGTTGTTGCTGTTGTTGTTGTTGTTGTTGTTATTGTTGTTGTTGTTGATGATGATGATGATGATGATGATGATGATGATGATGATGATGATGATGATGATGATGATGATGATGATGCTGATGATAGTGATGATGGAGGAGGAGGGAGGAGGAGGAGGAGGAGGAGGAGGGAGGAGGGAGGAGGGAGAAAGAAGGAAGAGGAGGAGGAGGAGGCGGGAGGAGGAGGACGAGGACGGATTGCCGACGGCCTTCCGAGAACCTCTCTGGGCCAGCCCTGGCCAAGGCCGCCCATGGCAGCACCCGAGGAGCCTGCGCCGGGGACGCCGGGGCCGCGCGCGCCTCGGCCCCGGCGGGGAGGCGCCAGAGCCGCAGAGTGCCGTCGCGGCCACACGAGACGGCGCAGAAGGTGGCGGTGTCCAGCAGCGCCCCTGCCGAGGACGGTTTCCTCCAGAGCCGTAGGCGACCCGAGGAGGGGAGGGCGATGAGGGGGAGGAGGAGGAGGAGGAGGAGGAGAGGAGGAGGGGAAGGAGGAGGAGGAGGAGGGAGGAGGGGGGAGGAGGAGCAGGAGGAGGAGGATGAGGAGGGGGGGGAGGGGAGGAGGAGGAGGGAGGAGGAGGAGGAGGAGGAGGAGGAGGGGAGGAGGAGGAGGAGGAGGAGGAGGAGGAGGAGGAGGAGGAGGAGGAGGAGGGCGGAGGAGGAGGTCGGGTCGCGTAAGCCCTTCGGAGCAACCCTCCAGGCCCGAGCAGCTGGAGTCGAATAATCGCACCGCGTCGCCGATATACAAGAGATGCATCGGGGGCGGCGTCGAGATGTACAGAGCCAGGCTCCTCCCCCTCCTCCTCCTCCTCCTCCTCCTCCTCCTCCTCCTCCTAGCTCCTCCTAGCTCCTCTTAGCTCCTCCTTCTCCTACTCCTCCTCCTCTTCCTCCTGCTCCTCTCTGGCCCCAGCTACTCCGGCCCTAATTGGGCGGCCAGGACCTGCGCGGATTCCGAGAACTGCGCCCTGGTGCCCTCCGAGCCGCACCTCCTGCTCGCCTGTCTGGAAGTTCCACGTGCTCACGGTCCCATCCGCGGAGCCGAAGATGACGCGCGCTCCGTCGGGCGAGAACTCGGCGCAGTGGACTGGAGCGTCGTGGGGAGCCCCCGCCTTCCTGGCAGCGAGCGCCGCTTCCTCCACATTCCACACCCTCACGCAACTGTCAAGGGACCCGGAGGCGAGGAAGACGCCGCTGTGATCAAAGCAGACGCAACTGAGCGTCTGGAGGTGCCCCACCAGCACCTGCTCCGGCGCGCCTGTCTCCGCACCCCACACGCGGACGCAGAGGTCCGAGGAGGCGCTCGCGACGCGCCCACCACTCGGAGCCCACGCCACGCTGTGCACCCAGTCGGCATGCCCACTCAGCAAGCAAACGACATTAGCCTGCGCCACGTCCCAAATGCACACGTTGGCGTCCCAGCTTCCGGACGCCAGTCTGGCCCCGTCGGGTGACCAACCCACCGACGCGACGGAGAGCTGATGACCTTCTAAGACCGCCCTGCACTCGCCGCTGAGGGTGTCCCAGATCCTGATGCTCTTGTCGGCACTTGCAGACGCCAGGGCAACACTGTCGTTATGTCGGGCGTGTCCCCCTACAGGGGGATTGTGTACGAAAAATAAAATTACCCCCAAAAATACCCCCCAAAAAAAGTAAAAGGATGCTCAACAGATAGCCCCCAGACTACTTTTTGAACTATGTTTTGACTATTTTGGGGTATTTTTTATTTTTCGTCGAGGATCCCCCTGTAGGGGGACACGCCCGACTTAACACTGTCGGGAGAGAACGCGACGTGGTTCACCCAGCTCCGGTGCCCGGCGAGGGTCCGCAGCGCGCGCCCGGCTTCCAGGTCCCAGATCTGGAGCGTGTGGTTCTGAAGCGCAACGGCGGCGCTCCTCGGGGGTCCCACAGATACCGACACCGAAACAACCCAAACATTCTCGGAGGAGGAGGAAGGAGAGGACGAGGAGGAGGATGAGGAGGAGGAGGAGGAGGAGGAGGAGGACGAAGAGGAAAAAGAGAAGACGAGGAGGAACAGGAAGAGGAAGAGGAATAGGAGGAGGAGGAGGACTGTAGCCGCATTCTGAGCAGAACGGCAGCTGGCCGTGGTGGCGAGAACCCTCCAAGACGAGCAGCTGCGTCGGTTCTCCCCTCCTCCCCTGAGCTCCGACGTTGCGAAACATTGCAACATCGCACAAGAGTGAAGGGAAACTGGGACACACAAATAAACACACACAAACAAAAAGATTCCCCATATGTTCCCATATGTTCTGGGCTCTTGCCTTCCCCCCCGCTTCCCATCTTTTCCCAGATGTTCTGGGAATCGCCGATGAATTGTGTCTGTGTGTTTTTTTGTCCCTCCTGAAAGAGTGCGACCAGAACCCTGGACCCCATGTGTCTTGGGCGCCCGAGTTATCCGGGGTAACTCGGGTCCGGGATAACTCGGGTTTGGATTCCCGAAAAAGGATCCCGAGTTAGCCCTGACCCGAGTTACCCCTGATGATGTGGGGCTCTGGACGCCCGAATTATACGGGGTAACTCGGGTCCGGGGTAAGTCGGGTTCGGATTCCCGAAAAACGGACCCGAGTTAACCCTGACCCGAGTTACCCCTGATGATTCGGAGCTCTGAGTGTGTGCGTCATGCTTGGAGCTGGACCGATCCGTGAGGGCTCTGGGAGGCGCGAGACGGTGCGAGCACGCCCTCTGACAGACACTGCAGCGAGCTCCGGCCGTGGAGATGAAGGACTCGGGCTCTCGCCATCGCTCGGACGTCCACTCCCTGTGTTTCTTTTTGGTTTCGTGCGCGGTTTTTTCGCCAAATGATCAGGGATGCTTCTTGATGGTCCTCGCCGAGGAAAAACGCACACGTCCGAGCGATGCCAAGCCTTTGATAAACATTGCAACGAGCTCCGGTCGTGGAGACGAAAGCCTCGGGCTCGAGTGGCTCGGGTTGGCCTGACAACGCCATCATTGAAACGACAAGCCCCAGTCTCAAAATGCACGCGAGCTCCCGCTGCATTCACCCCGCAAAAACTGGACCGTCCAAATCCAGGACACGCTCGACAAAAAGCGTCGGCAAACCCGAGTTCCGGCGTACTCGAGTCGAACGTATCCCCGATGCTCGAGTAAGGGGTCGACTACAGAATTGGTTTACCACAGAGATTGCAATTTCCGCCGAATATGCGGACCAAAGACGTAGTTTTATGTTCGTAGATACGCGAACAATATAACGCTGTGTTTGTCCGTCGATCCGACAAGAAGAATCAACTTTGGGAAACAGTTCTCTGCTGCAGTCGATCCCCTCCCCTGAGATCCTGCAGTGCCCCGCCAGCGCCACCGCATTGGCGGCCTGCCCGACCCGAAGGCAGCCGACCTCTAGAAGAGGACAAGCAAAATTAACATAAACTTTTGGCGCTCTGCGCGGACTTTTCGGCACGCTGGACCCCCCTCCCTGGCGCGCGGAGCTCGCCAAGGGCGGTGCCGGAAGTTCTGCCAGGGAGGCCCAGGGCGGATCCAAGAAATCCACAGTTATGACTATGTTGAAGAGGAGGAGGAGGAGGAGGAGGAGGAGAAGGAGGAGGAGGAGGAGGAGGAGGAGGACGAGGACGAGGAGGAGGACCTCTTCATCATCCCCTCTCCCCCGTCCTACATCTGGTAATGGTCATGGAAGGTTTGCCCATCAGACCTCGCCGAACGCGCCGCGGTGCGCAGCGGGTCGCCCGGGCGGGGTGGCGGCGCCCGCGGCGGCGAGCATCATGCTCCTCGGGCGGTGCGCCGTGCGGGGGCGCCCCGGCGCATGGGCGCCGCCGGGCGGCGCCCGGGCGGCGCGGGGGCCCTGCGCGGGAGGTCGGGGGGGGGGGAGGAGGAGGAAGAGGAGGAGGAGGAGGAGGAGGAGGAGAGGAGGAGGAGGAGGAGGAGGAGGAGGGGGAGGAGGAGGAGGAGGAGGAGGAGGAGGAGGAGGAGAATTTCCGCAGCCAGGCCTCCCCCCTCCGACCCCCCCTGCGGGCCTGGGCGTGGGCCGCTCGCTCGTCATCTCTCTTGGGGGGGAGGGTCGGGCGCTCGAGCCGAAATGGCTAGGGCGCGGGCTGGGCGTCGCCGAAGGAGCGGGTGCAAACGGGGGGGGACATGGGCAAGCAGCGGGTTTTCACTACTCACGAAACAGCTGCTCGCGAATGGCCTGGATCCGCGGCGATGGATTTACGATCCATCATGCGGAGGGAGACATGGCGTTTCTGACTGCTGTGAGCTGGAACGTTGCGAGTAGCGGAACGTGCGCGGTGAGAAGAAAGGCGCACTTGGCCTCCCTTTTGGGCCCTCGAGGGGCCCTTTGGGGCCCCCCAAGAAGGGCCCCGCTTTCTGCAGCCCCTGCTGCTCCCCAATCTATCGCCCCCCATTGCGCGACGCCCGAGCGGGATGGATGGGAACACGGCCAGGCGGTTGGGTAAGGGAGCGAAAAATGACGTAGACATCAAAACTTGAAGGTCCGCGCGGGACTCTTGGATATGCGAAAGAACCCCCTCCCTGGGGCGCGGAGCGCGCCAGGGGCGGCGCCGGAGGCACCGCCAGGGGGCCGCAGCGCCGATCCGAGAAATCCGCGCAGACCTCGTGAAAGTTTTTGATTCGGCGTTTCGACATTGGGGGGTCTGGCTCCGGGCCTCTGCCCAATGCGACTGCTTGCATCAGGGCGTCCAGTACGGGGGAGGCTCCACCTGCAGGAGACAGGCGCCCAAAAGCAGCCAAGATCCACTCCAAGGGGGGCGGGAGGGGGAGGCGAAAGGGCGGCCTGCGTCGATCGGCAAAACAACGAGTGAAACAACGACCACCTCCGAGTGATTATGTTTATGTTTAAGTCGGGCCTGTCCCCCTACATGGTTTTTCCGAAGAAAAATTAAACATACCACCAAAATAGCCCAACAA